TCTTCTTTTATACAATTGTGCCCTCCTTTTAGATGATCCTGACATGTGATGGCTCCTATACAAGGCCACATGCAATCATAAAACCACAGGGCTGTTTATAGCTGTTCTCCTGAAGGGTCGCTATTAGCCGCACGCGCTGACAGCTGGGTGCTGTGCTGTATTTGTGTACGTGACTATGAATCCGGCTTTGCAACACATCTTATAAATCATAGTTCAGGCCATTAGCATAAATTCTGCCTCTCTTTGCATCTGGGAGACCTGCTGTTTCCTGCGTTCTTGTTGTTGATTGGTTGGACTGTGTTTAAGTCAAATTGATCATGCCGTTCATGGAGATTATAGCATGTATATAGTGTTACTACGCTCTGCCATTAATTACCTATAAAATCAACCTAGTTCTGATGCTAAATCCTTTTTAATTTCTCATAATTAAGTCAGAATTGGATGCTTAAATACCTTGGCAGACCGTTATTGTTACAATCATTGTTGCGGCTGCGCATTTGGAGCTGCATCGAGCTCAGCAATCTTCTTATTGTTATTAGATTTAATTGCACTAAGTGATCGGTTTGCAGTTGTCGGGGGGAAGATGGACTTGCCTTGCAGTGGTTTTTTCTCCCGCTGTCCTTTCTCTCTCATCCCAGAAAGAGGCCCTTTGAGAGATGGCGAGAGATGAGACATGCCGAGGGGGAGGGGAGCACCGTGCTTTACACCTCTGCAAAGGAGGGATTGCTTTTTTGTTGTTTGTTAGGGCCAAATCAATTCTTTTCACATCATCACGTTCTGACAGGGCGAGGCATTAAGCGCAGATATAGAGAAGAAGCAGGAATGCTTTAGCAGCCTGTCCAATCCTCCCCATTTTGTTGATGCCTTTTACAACAGCATCAGAGTGTATTATCTTGGTCATCCTTTCCCCTCCGTCATTTCTACGTGTTGTTTTTCATCCGCCCTGATAAAGGTAGGAGATGAGCCGCCTCACTCACCAGCTGACACCACAGAAGCTAGCTTGTCCTTGGAGAGACAGACCTATTGTTTTCTCATGCATTATCATAATTATGATGGGCCACAAGACTCCTCCCTATTCCTAATCATATTCACTTTTATTATTTAGACCATCCGCAAGGAGTAACTGTCACCGGTATAATTTTGCATCCGGCGAAAGCTCAACCTGACATTTAAAAGGTGACAACTACTGTGTGTCATCCTCCAAAAGATGTCAGAGGTAACCCTTTTTTGGCCACTGCTGTCACTAAACCAGAAATGAATTCTCATAAGTTAAGTGTAGCTCTCATTTTCTGGCATAGGGCTTATCTTTAACCCACATTCTTGTCACCTTGCATGGGAGGCCATCGAAAAGACCTATGACCTTGCTCGTAATTACACAACCGCCATCTTTTTTTTCTTTTCTACCTCTACACTGCAGCTATGGCAGTTATGGCCGCCCAAGTCCGATGGCACAGCAGTAGCCTCCCTCCCCGCGGACTGCAGCAGGTTTGCTTGTCATCCGCTCCTCTCTTCTCTCCCCCTCTCTCCCTCTCTCGCTCTTGTCAGTGTTGCTCCTGGCGAAAGGCTGATACTTGATATTCAGAGGATAGCAGCTTTTGTCTCAGAGATTTAATCAGTGGCTCTGCAGAGGAGAGAGGGAGGTGGGGAGGGAGCGGGAGATGGAGCCAGGGACTGTTTATGTGTAATGACACAATAACAAAGCCTGCCTGTAAAACACAATCTGCAAACTGTGCTTTTGAAGGGGATTTTCGGGCCTGGATTAGTGTCAGGCGGACAGAGACTGGGAGAGCTGAACCAGTCCGCGTGGATGTGACAGACAGGAGCGATGTGCCACTTTTTAATGTCCCACAATGTGTTCTCAACTCAAGCAAATGGGTCTGTTTGGAATGTTTGGCTCTGCTCATGTCTCCGTATGTAAACTCGCAGATAGGATTAAAGAGACAGGGATACTGCATGTCGTATTTGTACTTTTTGTCTTCAGCAATTCTGCGGATAGGTGAAAATAATAATAAATTGGTCTGTTGCCAAAATATGTGCTCTACTATGGCAACCAAAGTGAAAGAAATATAAACTAATTTTCATTGACTTTTTCAGTTTTCAGGGTCAAGAGGAAAATCACCCGCCTCCAACTTTTTAGTGATTCACGCTCTGATTTGGCATAGATTTTGGATCATATCTATTTATTTTTTTTACACAACCCACTCTATACTCATCCTGGCAACCTCACAATGTTGTTCTAGGAGAGGATTGTCAATAATACATAGGGAGCACCTGGTAACATTGTTCAATCATATTTGTCAGAAAATCCTTTTACAAACAGTCAGATGAACACTGGGGCTGCTCTATCGTCTTCTGATGGTTAAGACATGTTAGACTTTTTTGAATGGTTCTCTAATTAGTCCTTGCTATCCTCCTACACCGTTCCATAGTTGCTACAATCAGCTCCTGCCAAGCACAAATGGCTCAGGTAAAACTAAATGAAAAAACTGTCCAAGTTCTAAGCTCTGAAAACAAAATAGCAGAGTGCATCACATTTTGCTTTTAATTTACTAAACAGTCATCCGCCAACAAGCTTTCTGTTTTATTGCCCGTTCCTTTGGCATTGGCCCAGCTGCTAATGGGTCTATTGGTGTGAGTATAACAACCAGGAAACATGTTGGTCCCACCCTAGAACATATATTTACTCAAAAGATGAAGCTTTAAATAATTTACCGCATTGAGTACAGTGCAAAAATGATCAAATATATGGTAATACATGCTTGATTTAAGTATTTTATCTTGAATTGAGTACATTTTTCCTGTCTTTACAAGATGTGCCAATGGTGCAAGCAGTTTAGTCTTACAGGTGAAAATCAGAAAATTAGAATATCCTTCAAAAATGCATGTACTGTATTCAACTTAAGATTTGAAACTATTACATGGTCTTATAGACCAATTACATGATTACACAAGTGACATATGCCAAGCCTTTGACTGTTATAGTTATGACTGGTATGTTATTATAGGTTTTTTTTTTATAAACTGTGAGACAATTGTCGGCTTGATATCACATGTTGCGTGTTATGAGTCTGTTATATATTAGTTTCCCACTGTAAGTTGAATTACATTTACAAGTTAATTGACTTTTAAACAATATTAGAATTTTCTGAGTTACACTCGTATTTCAAGTGTAGTTGCAATGTTTTTTCCAAAGAAGAATTGTGTGAGAGCGGCTGTAAAACAGTGCTAATCTATGTCTAAAATTTCTATATTGATCTTAAAAGATCCAATTCAAAAATAATTGTACGCATCAAGGAGTGTCTCTTTGGCAAATCTTGTTTAAAAAGGGACAAAAATAGTGACAAAAAAGGCAACTTTTTTTTTCTTAAAGTTAATTTCTTTAATGTTTTTAGTTTGTTTTTATTGGTCTTTACAACTCGAGTTTGTGAAACACCCCCACGCAGTCTTGCCTCTTATTCACGTTGAATAATGCCAGTGCAATATTGGCTGAGATGTTTGATGGTTTCATTTCATCGGCTGGTCAATAATGGCTGTCTGCGAGTCTCCGCGAGTGTTGATAATGGAGCGTTTTGGTTAATGCATCCACGGCCTGAAAGTCGCCATTTAGTCTTAGTTGTGAGGAAAGCAGCGATGACGTCTCAAAGAGCTCTTGGTTTAAATGGTATTCACTGAAGGGACTGTAGTCAAACACGGGTGCAGAGTAGATTGTTTACTTCTGTGCCCGTGGATTCGTCTCAGAAATGGCAGGTGAGGCAGCTAAGTGAAAATTGACTATTTGCCTGTTTTTGGTTTTTGTTTGAAGTTGTTCTTGTGGTGTGAAGATAATCAACTTTTGTGGAAGCCACTCACTATCAATAAACATGTAGATTTGTGTTTGTTCTTGGAAAGAGGTTGTTGCGCAGTAACAGCTAATGAAATATAATGAAATATATTTGAAAATACAACTGAAGTAAGATGTTTTATTATGAATGAATGAATTGTTTTTTGCTGTTTGTGCATTAGGAGTCTACAGTTACCTGCCTACAGTGAGCAGGTAACATTTTCACCTCAGTACCTATTTAAGTCAGTTTTTTTGATGCCACTTTATATTTGTTTCATGATTTAAAATTTAAAAAAATACAAAATGAGTTATAACTATACAGCAACAGCAGACAAGCATATTATGTCTCCCTTTATGTTGTGAAATTGATCTTGACAGCGGCTATTACAGGTTTCTTCAATTTAATTAAAATCACTATGACCTTTTGACAGGCCAATGTGACACGTTTTTTATTCTTTTGACTGTTAAGATTGAATTCTGTCAAGTACCTTCAAGAATATGGTCAAATTGTGCCTGAAATACTAAAGAGGTGACACATCCGACTTCCTATTATACAATTGCGCTTTTGTATAACGATGATTCTAGATACTTCTCCATTAAATTAACTTTATGGCGTCTAACATTTCTGTAGATGATCTATAATTGAATATACTGAAAACAAACATCTCATTTGCAACATGACAAAATGGTCGAAGCTTGCTGTGGGTGCATGTTTGTATTATTTTATTGAGGAAGTCTTTGTAGAGATCCCCTGTGATTCTAGATTAGGGATTTGTGCCCCTAATCGAATGAAATAGTAAGAAATCATCATCTCTGACAAGTCCAACAATTCTTATTTAAAATGTTTCGCAGCGATAATGTGAGAAGTTATCGATTAACCGAATCGTGAAATCTCTCTTCTGTAATTTTTTCTGTATTTACTTTTGCCGCAGGATTTGCTTTTTGAGCCTTGCTTTTCCCTTGCCTCAAAATGTAAAAACCCACTTTTCTGTCTAAGATGGCACCTTTTTGAGTTCATATAAATCAATAGGAGCTTGGAGCCAGTGAGCATGGCTAAATAGAAATATTGTTCCGGGGAAGTGAGTTGTGAAGAGGAGAGTGTGAGTGGATGTGTGTTTGGTGTTTAGTGCTGGTGTGCTGTGCTATTGTAACCCTGCTGATTGGATTGTGTTTGACAGATATGGAGTCCGGAGAGCGGCTGGCCTCCCCTGTGCCCACCCTGTCTGCGGCGCGCACCTCCTCCCCCGCGGCCTCTTCCTCCTCCTCTTCCTCTTCCTCACCCGCACCTCACTCCAAGAGCAGCCTGGCCCAGAGCCCCTCTGGACTGGCATCCACCCTCAGCAACTCTGGTGAGAACAGAACCATGACACAAGCATGTCCGAGACCACTTTGATTAACATTTACTGATTGTGCTATTAGCATTAATACTGACTATTAATACTATAATACTTTGACAACTACAACTACTTGAAATTTGTCTCTAACTGTCTTACTAAATGAATGTTGCTGAATGTACACCAGTCACCAACATATGGCGATGTTAATGCTGTCTCATCTATTACTAAGGAATTGAGGGTGCACATCAGTTTTTAGAACAAAAGTTTGTACCTGCTTTGTTGTGTGTGTGTGTAAAATACACTCAACACTTATGAATACAAAAATAAAAAACCTTTTGAAACCATTTGTCAAAGAATGCATTTAAAAATATATATATATAAAAAATAATACATCATACTTATATATCACTTTTTTGGACACTCAAAGACGCTTAGAAAAAATACATTTTTTTGTATTTTATTTACAATGAGCAATTACGCCCCATTGAATAACAGCATTAAAGCGATAATCTAATTTGATTGACATTTTGAGCATACCCAGGAAACTCTTAAAATATTTGTTTATGTTTTTCTTTATTATGGTCAAATAAAAAAGCATTCACATTAACAGCCACCTCAAGCCACCTACCACCTTTGTCTGAACATAGTGACTTTTAATGGCCTTGACAATCCACTACTTTAATAAGAAAAATGACTTTACCCCTTGGAATTAATTACATAGTCATTTTGTATCCAACACTGAATACACCTTACTGCGAGCTACATGCTTTTTTACTTTTTATTTTCTCTCATTTCTGTCCTGACAGTTTGAGTTGCAATTGAAAAGCCGCTGCATTAATGAATCCCAAACAATTAGGGGCTTCTTTTGTGTGAGAGGTGCACACATGCCTCACAGAGCCTCCTGACAACCTCCAGCTCTGTGGCTCCAGCTGCCTCTAAGTCAAACGCAGCACGACACTCCACTGTTGTCTGTGTTTGTGCGCACGTCTATGGGGGTCGGAGAGACTGCTCCTGCCTGCATGATTTAACATTTGTGAGCCCCTCATGTCTAGTCAGCCCCGTCCACCATCAGCCTCTTCCTTGTATTGGTCAAGGTCATTAGGCAAAGAGCTGCGTATGTTTATGTATATGTAGTGAGGGAGTCCATGTGTCTTTTCTTCCAATATTCCCTTTGAGAATCATTTGCTTTCATATTCTCTTCATTGTCTAATTTCTCGTTGCTTTCTCACAGACCTTTTACACCTGCTTATGCTTTCATAGCAGTATTTCTCACTACTGAATCAATGTGTAAAACCACATGCGTAGATTCACTCTCAGTCTTTCCACATTTGCTTACAGTGAAAGCACATGGAACATATAGAAGCAGCTTAATAGATTGTCATAATAGCCAGATAGACATATTAATCTATGTCTATAGATTCTGTGTTGAGCCGAAAGCAACAGAAAATACTAGGTTTGAATATTGTAAAGTTCTACATTTGATTCTTGCCCAGTGCCCACTAAAATCCATAGCTTCTCATATTCGATCATCCCACTCAAATCAGCAAACGGTAACCAAGCCCCTTGATATGTGTGGGAGGCATACATTTTGATACCCTTGATACTATAAGAGATAACCTACTCCTTTGATACATTTCTCTTAAACGTTCATGAAAAGCTTCCATTTTATCCCCACGTCCATGTTCTCTATTCAAAGAAGATAGAACCAGCAACCATATAACACAAGTTTGTTGGCGTGAAATCAACACGTACACAATTGCTCTAAACAAGGGCTGTATGGAATGGTTTAAGCTATTTTTGAAATTCTCCACTAGTCATTGAAGTAATGTCTTCCTTTCTTCACTCTAACTCAAGAATGCCAAGCTGCCAATTTAATCCAATGCTCTAATGTGTAATGACATTTTTTATCTTCCGACTTTTCATCTTTGATTTGTTAAAGGGGCATATAATTAATAATAAAGACAGGCTTTGACCATTTTCTTAATTGTGGCTGTCCATTTAGCAATTTTACATTTGAAACATCAAAACATATTAGATATTTAATGGAAAATAGGAACATTGATAGGGGCTTTGTGTTTAAAAAGAAGGAAAGAGCTCTGGTAACATTTGTGATCACGGTTTCCCCAGTAAACAGAACATACATATTGATTCAAGGTTCTTTGTGTATGCCAATGACACGCTGCTTTAAAAAGTCTGTATTTAAATGAACAGAAGGCACAGAGTACATATACTGTATGTAGCCAGTGTCTACTTGTGTCATTGATGAGGATATCACTTGGAGAGTAAAAGCTGATCGCTGCTTGTAGCACTCTCTCCTTCTGGGATCAACTCACGGATGCAATTAACTTAAATCTGTCTGTGGAAATTTGATTGACTGCAACAAACAACAAATTAATCCCCCTTCGGCAGCATCCAAACATGAAAAAAGCAGGCGGTGCAGTTTGTCACTGCAGGAAGGATTGAAACAGAATGAAAAAGAGGCCGCCAGATACAGAGGGCGAGAGAGACGCAAGGTAATCCTAGGTATGTCTTCCTGTGCCGCAAATTTTTAGATTTAATTATTTGCCTCCTGGATGCCGGCATTAATATTGAAAAGGCATTTGCAGATGTCACTTTGTGTTGCTTGGAAGAGAAAAGAAGGGGGTTGGTGTGTGAGGAGAGGTGGGCACCCCAGGCATGAGTGAATGCTGCGACCAGCCTTTCTGGGACTGGCTTGCACTCGTTTATCTTTGTATCCGCTCGCTGATGCTGGCGAGGCGGCCTCTACATATTCAGCATATTCTAATGACATTCAAAAATAAGTCGCTGTTGTGTTGGGCCTTGGAGCCCATTTGAAGGACTATACCCTCATGTGTCACAATATTGGCAACAAAATTCCAAAGTTTATTTTTAACTTGCAACACATATCTGTCTAATATGTTTTTTTTCCGCTGTGCAGCCTCTGCCTAATTAAACCCCAGGCTGAATGACTTCAAAACACTGCAGTGGTGTCACTCTGTAAAATATTTGTGTGGTGTGTGGAAGTGGATGGTAGTTTGACATTCTCATCTGCAGAGCGCAACACTTTCCTTTTCTTCAGTCATCACTTTTTGCATGTGTATTACCTGGTTTATGCAGAGGCATCACAGCTTCTTCTGGAATAGAAATTGAATTTGCATGAAATATGCTCACACCAAATTGCATCTGACTCTGGGAGGAGGTAATACGTGGCAGTCGCCCCTGCCAGAAATGATTGTGCTCAGGAAAACGCTAGACGATGATGATGTTGATGAAGTATTCTTCTGTGCTGAAATGGGATGCCAAAAGAAGAGCAAGAGGTCCTCTTTTACAGCAGTGGTTTCACTCACTTTGCAACAATAGACATGGATCACTTTGTGCTATAAGGATTATGACAAAATCTACTAGGTTTGAGGGTTCTATGTGTGGTAAATCAGTAGTAACCCTTGTTAATATAATTTTAGCAATATTATGTTGTGTTGATTGTTCATGCAATATATTAAAAGAGCTGCACTCATTTGGCACATCATTTTTAGTTAATTTGTTAATTATTATGTTAATTTAAGTTAAGTTAAGTTAATTATGTGTTTTCCTTTTCAGTTTGTATTCATTTAAGACTGGAGTATATTTTAAAACTATATCCCATTAATATTCCTCATGTTTTCTCAGCCATGTTATGTAATGTGTATTCTCTCATTATGTATTGAGTATTTTCAAAACACAGGGTTGGTCAAATCAACAAATAGCAAAAGTATTTATAATGAGTTGTACTGTGAGTAATGTGAATTATTTTATTAGACTGTCTTTGGTCAGGGCGCTTCATGTAAACAAGGCTTTCTGCTTTCAAACAAACCGTTCTGAACAAGTGAGTCACCAACAACAGAGTACACCACTTATTCCTTTAAAGCGCATTTTCAGTCTAATGAGCTCGAATCGTATTCACTGTACGGAGAGAAAAAAAGATTTATTTTGCTGTCTTTTCTTTGTAGTTAACTTTGAGATGAACTGTCAAAACATCAATGTGTAAAATGGACCAGCTGCTGTTGTGTATTTATGATAAAATGATAATCAAAGTTTGACAGTAGCAGTGTGAAATAACTGGGCTACAATAGATGGTTCTAAACAGTGCTTGAACGGATTGTGATATCTGCTGTAATATCAGTATCTATCAAATATGTTCTGTTCTCAAAGTATACGCAGAGGCTTGTTCAAATTGTTTATCTCTGGTTGGAATTTATATATTTAGGTAGTTAATTTATATTTCCATAACAAAAACTGTTTTAAAACTGCATTTAACACCATTCAAAGTAGCTCCTCTGGTTCATTGGGCCAAGTTTGGTTCACTGTTTCAAAACGTACAAACTGACTTAGCAAGGAAAGGAGAGTTTATTATGATAGCACAGTTCATGCTCAGTGCAACTCTAAGTGTGTTACTCAACAAGAAAGGACACTTAATTGACCTTGATTAAACCACAAAAGAACCACTAAGATTTCAAAATCACTTTTTCAGGGGAGTTTTGGCCCCAAAGAGACGGGAGCTATTGAACATGTATTTAGTTGTAGGGGAAACCAGAGCACCCGGAGGAAACCCACGCAAAATGCCACTCACAAAGGCCCTGTCTGGAGGTGTAATTGTACCCAGAACCTTTGTGCTGAGAAGCGAGAAGGCCAATTGAACATTAAAAGTAGTGGAAATACGATGGACTTGGAGGCTTTACATACACAAATAAACCGATTTTGCCCCAAGTGATCCACAATTGGTCCAGTTAAAGGGAACCGGACCAATATTTTCTGTTTCTGATCTATTAATCTTTCATTTTCACTGTCTTAATGATGGTTAATAATGAGTCTCCACTTCCAGGGCGTCTGTTTGGGGCTGCAGGGGAACAGCCTTTCATTGGCTCCACATTGTCAAGTGCCTTCCCTTTGGTGAACCATCCAGCCTTTGGAGCGCTGTACACTGCCGGAGCCGGACGTCCCGAGTTTGGAGGTCTGGGCTCCCTGGGCATGTCCGCCGCTCTGGCTGCTCATCCCCAGTTAGGAGCCCTCTCTGGTATGCAAGCCTGTTTCACGTTTGCACTATAATAAATGCATTTTAATTGGTTTTGCAGATTGTTTATTCATGTGTTTTTGGCGTTTCAAACAGAGTGGTGGAGAGCTGCCGAGGCTCATGGACGAGGAGCCGCTGCCTTCCTCCCGTCTTTCATCGGGTTCCCTCCATTTTTTACTCCTCACATTCAGCCCAACCACAGCGCCAGTCCAGTCCAAATGAGGCTGCCCAGCAAAAACAGCCATTCCCCACCTAAAGGTACACGATTACCTCACCTCTAAAGCTCTAAATGTAACTGTGATATGATCTTTCAAACTAGTTCCTCGCTCTCAAAACAATCTGGTTTCACATGCATGCTTATAGGCCTCTGTCACATCTTTAGATCAGCTTTCACACACGGAGAAGTGAAAATTCTATTTGTAAATATTGTAATATGTGCTTTTATTTTTTCATCAATTTATTTTGTAGAGCCAATAAACGCAACATCGGTCATCTCATAGAACTTTAAAACATTGTTAATTCTAGTAATCAGACAATGAATCTAGTAGTCAGTAAAAAGTAGTTTAAAGAGAGATTATAACACTTTTTTATGTGGATATTGTGTGATATTTTTGCATATTTGACCTTGTAGTGACCTACTGGATGTGTGAGTGGTCAGCATGCCATCTTTACTTTCCATCTCAGTGGTCTCTAATGCTATAGGATCAATTGTTTGAAAGGTTTTCTGTGCTGACGGAGCGTTATAGACACAATCATGATCTTAAGTAGATTCCCCATGATGCCCACTCTTATAGACTGGGTCACTACAAGGTCCAATACGCAAAAATATGTTACTTTAATTTGCATTAAAAAGTTGCACACTGCACCCTTAAGCAGTGTTTACCATGAAGGCAGATTTGAGGCCTCAGTCTTGGGGGAAAAACAACGGAAATAAACTACCAAATGTTATTACACCCTTAGGCGAGACATTCTACTGCTTTGCTTTTACAGCAAGTACTTGTACAACATTGCATAATATTATGTATAGTAAAAGATTCCTGCCTGGTTGTTTAATTTGAGCAATGTTAATTTTGATGAACGGCTATTGCCTAATCATGTAGCCCAACTAAAACATTTGCTTTGAACATTAAATTCACCCCCCTCTACTATCTAGACTTGTTTCTCAAGCCTTCATAATTTTTTGATTTATTTCCGAGATTTTTAACAGCTGCGATGCTTTACTCCTCGTTTTTAATCTTAGTCCTGCACTTTTTAATTTAAACATATCTTTTAATTTATCTTCTATCAAACCACTCATGTAAGTAGTGTGCGTTCCATGAGATAAGTGTATTAATCAATTGTTTTATAGGCGCGTTGTAGTTATTTGTTGTTAGTTGGATGCTTCATTATCTTGAAAGACTCACAGAGGAGTTGAAAATGCTGTGTGTTTCCAGGAGTGAATGGAGCGGTGAACGGCAGTGTGGTCTGTCCTCCCTCCACACACTCCGGGAGCTTCTCCTCGAGTCCGGCTCCGGTTCAGACTTCTGCCAAACCAACCAAACATTCAGAACCCTCCAATAGTCATCGTAGCAGCCCCCCCAACAAGCCAACAGCGGAGAAGATGCACAAAACTAAAGAGAAGGTAAGCACTTGTGTTAGTTATGTAGCCAATATATATATATATATTTTTTTTTTTTTTGTCCAAACATTGTTCAACTACAGGTGAAACATGAAAACATTGTTCAAAAGTTCACTTATTTCTGTATTTCAACTTAAAATGTGAAACTGAAAATATGATATAGACTCATTACATGCAAATTGAAACATGCCAAGCCTTTGTTTGTTAAAGTTAATTATGGTTTAAAGTCAATTTTCAAAGTAAAATTTTCTGAGATGTTTTATTTACAGGCTTTGAGCCAATTATCAACATAACAAATAAAGGCTTGATGTATATCACTTTGCGTGTAATGAGTGTAATGTCATAAATTAGTATCACATTGTAAGTTTAATTACAGTAAATTGACATAAGTAAATTCAATTTTCAGAGTTTCACCTGTATGTATGTATGCATATATGTATGAATGTATGTATATAATATTTGATTGCACTTGAGTAAAAGAAAGTAAAAGAACTGCCAATTTTCAGAAAGTATGTCCCTTTGAGTGTTTTTAACTATTCATTAGTTTTATAAGTAATCATCCATCACATTTCTTTGTGTAGTAGTAGTTGTCATTTATGTGGTAATAAGTGTAAATAAACTAAACTTAACTATACTAAACTATAGCATGTTTACATGGATTGTCAAATATCAAAGACATTAAAATAATGACCCAAAGGCAATTTCATCATTTTTTCTGAAATTTGATGTGAAGCAGACTAAAGGTGGAACTTACACTGAAATTAATGAAATCATTACCAGAAATGAATGCAATAAAAACATTCAGGGAAATGCTTTTTGGAAGCCAGGTCACAGGATTCAAGCTGGATTCAAGTGCTCTATCATAAACAATAATTTAAGCAATCTGTGATATATACTACTAGTTTTATTTATATTAAATAAATAAATATTGTGCCAAAAAATATCAACTGAGGTAATGTTGTTTCTTCAGAAGTCCCGTAAAAAGCCAGCCGACGGCTCCACAGCCAGCCACAGTGAATCAGGTTCCTCATCGGACCTCTCGAGCGACGGGTCCCTCAGCAGTGACCTGGAGGATCTGCCTGAGGATGATGAAGATGACGATGATGATGAGGAGGATGAAGAGGATGAGGACAAATCAGGCGAATTCTTGGACTCAGACAAACGAGCCAAGAAGAAATCAAAAGTAAGGAAAAACCCACCTGAATGATACAAATGTGTTATTACCCAGTGTATCCTGGGTCTTCCCTGGGGCCTCCTCACAGGACATTCTTGGAACACCTCCGCAGGGAGAAGCCGGGAGTCATCTGCAACAGATACTCGAGCCACCTTAACTTGCTTCTGTTGATGAAGAGGAGCAGAGCCTGTAGTCCGATCTCCTTCCATGTCAAATCGAGATTTGTTATGACATTCAGACAAATATTGACCTATTGGACAAAAATTACAATTATATTTTTATATAAATGCAACTATTTGGACACTACAAGTCAAATCAGACAGAGAAAGGGTATTTTTGTTCCTCATTGTTTACTACTTAACACCGAGCATACAACCAGAAGCAATGAATGATTAAATGTGGACAGCGTGGAGCTAGCAGGCCACACTGTACTCTCTGGTGGTTTTCTTCCTTGTTTCTTGCCCTGCGATAAAAAAATATTGAATGAATTACAATAAATTATCATGAAGTATTCTCACAATTTGTTAATTTCTCCTCAGGTTTTAACACAAAACGGCGCAAAGATGGCAGATGCCCAGTCCATGACAGAACCCAAAACCCCAAAGCTTTCCTCCAACCCTCCGACCCTGGTGCCCATGACCCGTTCTGGATCGCCCCCCGTTTTGTCCCAAACCACATCCCTGCTGCACAACTCCAGGCCACGCACAGAGCAGCACTTCAGCGTCATCCAGTCCACCGGTTTGGCCGCCAGCACCAAGCCCATGGCGCTGGTCACGCACAGGGAGTCTTCCCCGTCCTCCTCCCCCATCGCGCTCACCACTTCCCCCAAGGCTGTGTCCCGCACGCTCTCCCCTAAAATGCTGCCCTCCTCGTCTCCGCAGCACCAGCCCCTGTCCCTCTGCTCGTCCCCCAAACCCCTCTCGGTGCCCTCCCCTCCGCGCTCAGCCCTTCCGGTGTCTACCTCCCCAAAATCCTTTGCTATGACCTCGCCAGTAACAAGCTCCCACAAGCGGTCGCTGAAGCCACCTCAGTACATCACAGGAGGCAAGCCCAGCAAAAGGAAGCTGCTGGAGGCTTCACTGGCACAAATCAATGAGTTCAGGCTCAAACAGGTATGGCCATTGCTTTTAGAAGTTATTCACATGGAAAATATCATGTAACAGCTGACATAATATACTCATACCTAGTGCCTTTTGCTCCCAGAGTCACTACATTACAAATATTGCCACTAGTAAATTGCTATATTACTGTCACTAATGTGCTTTCGCTGTGCCCTGGTATTAAAGTGTTGCTTTTAGCATTGTACGCTGCAACAAAATATAAAGATAAAACATAAAGTAACAAATACATACATGAATCTAGGTTGAGATTGTTCAACCTAGATTATTCAAGATGCTGTATAAAAACTGGAGCGACAATGGCACTCGGTCAGCTAAACCGTTTATTTCAAAATTATTTCCCCTTTTCAGTTTCACAAATAAAGAGAAGTTTACAATGAGATAAATTCCCCTTGCCTGGCCTGCCAGACACTCCTCCTTTCTGTTCAAAAGAAGAACCGTCTGGACACCTCTTCCTAGCCTATCATTTCACGATTTTACCCACATCGGTCCAATCACGCACCGAGAGGCGGGACTTCCTTTCACCTTTGAGTTGCTAATAACTCCTCGTATCTTTAAGTTTTTGTTACAAAATCGACAGCAGTCGTTTACATTTGCACTAGCTGACATGCCGCCATCCCTTGTTTTGTGTTTACTGAAACGGCTTGGGTGCCGCTAGTTGCTGCGTCATATCCTGTGTGCATCTAATTGGTTGATGCAGTCTGTCAACCACGCCCACCGGGAATTCGCTGAGATCAAGCTCGTTCCCAGACTATATGTCTTTGAAAAAGCATATCGTTTGGCAGGCCAGGCAAAAATTCCCCCAGTGGTTTCACTACTGTTACTGTATTTCATGTTCTGTGAAATTGATTTGTCTTCCTTTGAATCATGTTCAGTATAAAATGCAAGTTAGAGTTTGACCTGTGAGTGTTGTAGATGCTGTTGGAACTGAACTTTTCATCATTGTTCAAGGCAGACATGTCTATTTGCATGATTCTAGTGATGATGGAGCTTTTCACAAACGCAGACAGTAATTACAATTTCAGAGAGGCGCACAGGGTGTGTGTCAAGGGCTTGCCAGAGTACAATGCCTTTGGTTATTGCATTTACGTTTGCTTTGTTTTGCAAAATAGACACAGTTAGACACAGTTAAATGTAAGTATTGTAAATTTGTCACCTGCTCAAACTATCAACAGTAATGCAAAGTGACAGCTAGAGCACTCTGTCCTAAATATATGCTCATTTTGCCGCACATATTTGTCCTCTCTGCTGCCTCCCCCCTCCCACCCTGAATCTTTCCCACTCAATCTCATTTGTCTTCTTTTTTCTCAGACTCTCGGGTCACAGGGGCAGTTGTTCCCGACTGAGCTTAAAAAGCAAACGGGACCTAAGTCTCCCAAGAGGACTTCTCTGTCTCCACTGCCTCCCGTGCCTGCTCCCCAGAACAATCACTCCAACTTGTTCCTCTCCAGTGCCCTGTTGGGGCTCCCCGAACCCCACCACCCCAATGGAGTCATCCAAAGCACCACTCAGGACGCACCTTTGGCCCTCATCACCAAACCACGTAAAGACTCGGCTTCCCATGGCAAGTTGTCTCAGTGCGACTCCGATAGTGGGTCAATGCCTGTCAATCTCAGCACAGGGGCCAGCCGCACCCAGTCACAGCCCCCCTCTACCTCACCCCACGGATCCATAAAGAACAAGAGCCTTCTGGGTAAGGGGCACAGCCTAGGGCAGGCTCAAGCAGACGCGTTAGCCGCCTGGAAGGGCTTGCCCCAAAACCATTTGGTGCAGTCTTTGGTGGATTTGTTTCGAGGAGGAGAGTCTGGTATTGGAATTCCTGGGGTCAGTATTCCAGGAGTGGGAATACCGGGAGTGGGGCTCCCAGGGACATGTAACCCCACTGCGGGACTCCCAGCCAACAAGGAATCTGACGACTCTGGAGACGACGATGATGACGAGGACGATGATCTGGAGGAGGAAGATGAGGAGGACTCAGATGACAGTCTGTCAGGTCAGTCTCAGTAATGCAGACATTCAGATACAGTAATGTCTTAACCCGGTGAATAATCCAACGTAGATTCTCAGCGCAGTTTGTCAGTTACAAATCTAACGTCACCCTTTGTTTCAGAGTCTGACAGTAACTCCGACAGTGACATCTCTGGAAAGAAAGCTAAGGATTTGAAGGTCCCTTCTGGATCCAAAAAGGAGTCCTCGTCCCGCCGGCCAACCAAAGGCGCAGAACTACTGAACACCTCATCCAATCACACAGCCACCAGCTGCTCCCCTCTGAACCTGCAGGTGATCAAGAGTCCCATCGTCTCCAGCTCCAGTGCCTTGGCCTATCACAGCTCTCCAGGCTCCTCCTACAGCCTGGCATCTCCATTAGGTAATGCACCACCCTCCCTAAACAGAACACAAATGGAAGTAGTCTTGCACAAGTCCATGGTAACTTAGGGTGTATTCAGACCTGCACATTTGCTCCACTTTAAACGGACCAGGATTCGTTTGGAACTCTGATCCGAAGCTTTTATGCAGGTCTGAATACACACACACGAATCCTGGTCCGGACCAAAGAACCGAACCGAGACCCACTTTTTTAGGTGGTCTCGGTTCGCTTCCAAACGAATTCTGGTCCAAGTCGAATCAGGTCTGAATACATCCGGTGTCGATCCGACACAACTCCAAGATACGTGCGCATTTTTTGGGCTTAACAAGCCGCAGACAGAAACTGTAAGGAATTAGCCACGCAGCGGCTAACTATGCTGCTAACTATGCTGCTAACTATGCTGCTAACTATGCTGCTAACGCTACACAACAACACTGAGCCGTGTGCAGACCTGGAGCAGTGAGGAGACGCTGTGCAACAGGCTTATGGAGTTAAAACTGTTCATAGTATACAGTTATGTTAATGGCAGCATCTTCAAACCATTTCCATTATTAAAAGCCTGACACTGTTTGACTCACGTCTCAAAGAGCAATATTCTGCATCATGTAGTGAATTGTGTTCTTTGGTTCCTACCTGATCCTCGGCGTCTGTTTGTCCCGTGGTTATTATAGATCCATGGTTTATCCACAATGCTGAACAGGGCCGTTATTATCATAGATCCATGTGTGGGACAGGGCACGGAGCGCACAGACAGTCTCCTTCGGCTTTCTCCTCACGCATTCTCCGACGCTGTTCCAATATTTAAAACAACGCGTTTCGCCTGTGTCATATGAGCTGCTGCTGTTGATGTTGAAGGTGGTTTTGCTCTAAAAAGAGCAAACATAGGCAGAGCAGACATGCTGCAGATACGAGCCCTCAATGTTTTCTGCCGGTTCCGTGTCTATCATCCGTGAGCTCTCGCTGTCCAATAGGAGCGCCGATCGTCACACGTGTCAATATGTTTATATAAAAAAGTTCACTTGCAAAAAATACAGTCTGAATACGAACCGGAGCAAAAGAAAAAAGTTTGGTCCGCTATTGATTCGGATCAAGCAAGCGGAGCAAAGGACTTTTCAGGTCTGAATACACCCTTAGATATGGTCCTGAAGTAGTGCTTAAGATTATTATGTCCTGAGTCGCTCTCTGCCATCGTGTAGGGACATGCTCGGTGCCCTGACAACTTGTTTGGCAGAGCCACAAGGTTAATTTCCGCCTTCCTGTGCAGAGTAGAGATTACACAGATCAGAGGAAAGAGGACATATGTGGAGCAGCCATAAACACACCAATAAGCATTCAGTTAACAGTTAGTTATTCAATGTTTTGTGTAGTCAATAATTTGTAATTTGTAATATTATTGGAGAATTGAATTGCAATTACATTTATGACTCTATTTTTGTTTAAAACAATTCAAAATCTTAATATGTAAATAATATATATTGTATTGGTGCCTGATTAATGCAATCATCAACAATCATGAACACAACTCAATTATTACTCAAGTACTTTTACCTTGAGAAAATTTTTTATTTGTACACATCTTTTCAAATATAGACTCTTGTAGAAAGTGATAATTTGTAGAAAATAATATAAATAATGCAGAAGAATTACCTCTCTCAACGTCCTTGAGCCAATAGAAATAATCATGGTAAAAACAACTGACTTAAAACAGGTGAACGAGTTACTTTAGTGCAATCATTATAATCATAATTATTAATAAAATCCACAGCAGTAATGTCTTTGTAATATTTTTTTAGGTTTAGTCAAAAAGAAGCGGGTGATGGATGAGAAGGACTTCATGCTGCCTTTGGAGCTGGGGTAAGAAGCACAAAGAAATAATTTTTTACCATGAATTATTCCTAATAAAGCATCATGCTTTACTGCTCACAGATGGAGGAGAGAAACAAGAATCAAATCAGTGGCAGGACGTCCCCAGGGAGACGTGGCCTACTATGGTCCTTGTGGGAAGAAGCTGAGGCAGTACCCAGATGTGATGAAGGTACAGGAGACGCTGCAGTGGTGTCTGTAATCAAAGATGCATGAGGCAAATGTTGTGCAAACTAGAAAGGCTAGTTTCCTCTGATACTGTGATCTGTAACAACAATTTTATTTCTGAGTTAGTTTTAAGTTAGTCTCTTTAAATGAGATATTTTTCTGGGTTGCCCAAACAATTGCTCATGTATCTGAACTTTCTGAATGTGTTGGTGCCCTGTTCCCCCCTGCTGCTCTTAGCTCCCTCTGTGTATCCCTTTTCCCTAAAGATAGAGGGCTTAATCTATGTTCACCTTACACCACTTTTTCACCACTCTTCCCAAATGTTTGATAATATTCCATTTTGGGATGCACAATTTTGTTCAATTTAAAAGTCTAATAAATAAAATACAATGTTCATTGTAATGTGAATCTGAACATATCTTTGGAAGTAGGAAACAAACTTAAATGTGTCTAGCCGCTGACATCCACTCAGTGCTGGCTTTAAGTAGGTAGTAAAAGCTGAACATGGCCACGATAAATAGCAAAGGGCTTGAATTGTGCACCCCAAGGTCAACTGCGTTTCTCCTGAGAGCTTTTGCTCTTTTTGTCCCCTGGTTTTTATGATCATTAGTCTCACTGCACAGATGTACAATGTAAGAGTCTCCAATCTAGTGCCTCCCAGTTGCTTATCAATGTCAATCATTCTTGCCTAAACCAACGCCAATATTATTTTCTTTTCTGTAGTATCTATCCAGAAATGGAATAAGTGGCCTCACGCGTGATAATTTTAGCTTCAGAGCAAAGATAAGGGTTGGTGACTTCTATGAAGCCAGAGAAGGACCCCAGGTGACTGCCTTTCATCTCTCTCTCCCTGATCCCTGTTCATCTTTTCATCTAGAGGCAGGCAAAACTCCATGCAGCAGTCGCTGTCGACAGAGCCAGAGCCAAAGCCCTCAGTACTTTAGTCCACAGACCTCTCTCTGTGCATGAAACATGTAATAATAATATGATGTTCCTTCCACAGGTGACCACCTGATATATACAGCATATGCTTTGTGCCAGGAACAAAAGAGTCGAACACATATTGTGTTAACCGATCAATGCTGAAAAGTAGTATAACAATTCTATCTGTTCTAAGGACCAGTAAGGACAGGGCTACTTACTGTAGTAAAAATACCTCATTGTAGTAACTATCAGCATTCAATATTAATGTTCTGGGCTCTATAGTTAGTCACTGATAAGATACTCTTATCCACATTTATAAAATGGAGTTTCAGTAGATAATTAGTCAGATTCATATAGATACGAATATATTGTCGCATTAGTGTCTTTAACAGTTTTCTGCTTCTGTAGGGTTTACAGTGGAGCCTGTTGAAGGAAGATGACGTGATTCCTCATATCTTGGCTATGGAGGGTCGGCGGGGACGAACTCCGAACTCTGAGCGTCAGTTAGGATCTGACGGTGCCAAAGGTTCCAGGCGGAGGAAGGGACGACCCCCCAATGTAGGCGACCCCTTAGTACCAGAGGGGCCCAGTCCGAGTGAGGTCAAGCTCTTACGGAAATTAGAGGCGCAAGGTGAGAACCCAGAACAATCTCCGTAATGAACTGATTGAATGCGCTTTAAAACACTCTGGGAAGTAGAGTTCTGTATAGATTTCTCACTGACAATACAAATGTTTCTGCTGTGTGCAGAAATAGCCAGACAAGCTGCCCAGATGAAACTGATGAGAAAACTGGAAAAGCAAGCAATGGCGCGTGCAGCCAAAGAAGCTCGGAAACAGCAAGGTAAACTAAATCTTCTCTGCAGTTAACATATGCCAGAGTTTGTGAAGAGTGGACTTTTATACGGTCAGTCTTCAGTATTACTTTCATCTAAATGTGTGTAATATAAAGACCTGCATTGCCTCTGGGCCACTGCCGCCTCTAATATAGCCTTTGTATGTATGTCCATGTTTATATAAATCACTTGAAAGCATAGCTTTAATCTTCCCTCAGCTCTAATCTTTCTCTCTAATATCCCTTAGACATTATGCATGCACCTTTTTGTTTTTTTCTTTTTGCAGAAAGATGAAATATGAAAATGTGTACACTCTTCTTGAGAGAGACATGGCATGTATATGGAACTGCTTTCAAACTAGATCCACTATATAATATTTCTTATTCATTTTCATCTTACAGATTTTATTAGTAAAATGTGTTGTACAGTTTAATGTTTGCCATCATATTACATCATGTCTTTTGAAGTGACAATAAAGTGTGCATTGGTATTCTGCAGGCGTGTAGGGTACGTGAACATATTTGGCATATTCTAACCATTTGACATTGTCTTTATTCTTGTAGCAATCATGGCAGCTGAGGAGAGGAGGAAACAGAAAGAGCAGATCAAGATCCTCAAGCAGCAGGTGGGCAGTGCAAAAAAACCCTTCTCCTCTTTTATGCAGTCTCAGATGGCATAGTCTCTCCCTGTGCGCGCTCCTCAAAGCACAACGTTAAAACTGTACAACTACCGCATCCAGAGGAAGATATTCTAAACAATGTTTGCCATTACTTTGATTAAAATAAAGCTTTTGTTTTATTTACAGGAAAAGATCAAGCGAATTCAGCAGATTCGAATGGAGAAGGAACTCAGGGCGCAGCAGATTTTGGAGGTATGGGATCAGATCCAAGAGCACCTCTGATTACGCAGAACATTTCCTGGATAGCTGCTGTAGCCCTCAGTCCATAGTGTTTTAATCTTCCTAAAGCTCATTACTGAACAGCGGCATGCAATGGAGGGAGCTGCGTCGTCTTAGGCATAATTCCACATGGAACTAATGCTAAATTGGTCTTGGTTGACGGCTGTTGAATATTAAAATGGGTGTTGCTGCGTCTTCAGACCTTATTTAAATTGGACAGAAAAGTCTTTTTTTCATCAGACAACAGTAACAGTTTAGCATAAGTGGGTCGGAGGGAAAAAGGTGCTGTTTGCCTTACCCGCAAACACACAAATGCACACACACAATTATACTGTGAGAGCTTCAAAGTGTTTTAGCAGGACTAAATCAATTTTGAGTTGACACGGTTGGCAAGCCACTCTTAACGGGAGGCTTCAACATTTTCACAATTACGTATTAAAGAGATACATTATTCATTCGCCGTGTTTAACAAATTTGACTGGCATACAGGGGCATGAAATCTTTGCCCGAGCCAGAAAACTGCAAACAATTAGCCAAAGTGAAACAATGCTTTCACTCAAAACGACACTGAAATGTGCTTGTTTACGTTATTTGTGATTTGTATTCACAGGCAAAACGCAGGAAGAAGGAAGAAGCCACCAATGCCAAAATATTAGAAGCTGAGAAACGCATAAAGGTATCATCAGCTTAAATCCCTAATTTATCTCTTATTTTATAAAGTTAATCACATCCCAAATCGAGTAGAGCTAGTTAGTTGGCAATTCCCAAAATCGCAAGTTTTCAAACCCTCAACCCACAGCTGTAGAGTAGTACTTACATTTTTAAAATGGGCTCACATTTCATCTGACTGAGGTGGTTTTCTTGGTATTGGCCCTATGGAAGCATATTGATTTTCACTAATCGTTGTTCTTTCCTTCAAGGAGAAAGAGATGAGGAGGCAGCAGTCTGAGATCCTAAAACATCAGGTAGGTTCACCACAGCCCTCTCAGGCTCTTCAACATAATAGTTACTGCTAAATAAAACCAATAGGTCAGTCAGGTCTGACTTTAATAGGAGTTCCAAGTGTGTTTGAGTGAGTGACTGAGGTAAATGCAGGGATGTGTGGGTGTAAATAATATATACAAATAACAAGCAAACAATTGAGTCTTATTTTTCATGAATGCCATATTGTATGGTATTGGATTTGATTTCTGTTCCATAATATTTTGCCAACTCTTTCTGCCAGGAGTTGGAGAGGCATAGACTAGATATGGTATGGGTATGTTTATTTTTGTACATCTAACACCTGCATCGTGTAACTGGTTGTGTTATGGTTGTCATAGCAATGCATTAAGTGTAGCACTGGCTGCTGTCATACTACATTCTTCTGCATGGCTTTCCAGCAAAACCAACAAAAGAGAAAGCGAGTCAGTATGCTGCCTCCATCTGCTCATCCTGAGGGACGGCTGACCCTGTCACAGAGCAGGCTCCTGTCCCCTCCCCCACCCTCTGCCCTCTACTCAGAATGCATTGCAGAGCCTGCTAGCCAATCCACTCTCACCGTCTCAGGAGCCATTCAACCACCAACTGGTACATGGTATGGTTTGGGTTGGGGTGGCATATGTCTATTCTCAAAGTGGGAGCAAAGTGTCCTCAAGTCTGCATTCACTGCCGCTTTTTGTATCCACTCCATCTGGTCAAGAGTAACCCTCACTGGAATCAAATTAATCTGAAAATTGTCAACTTTTTAAATCGTATGCTAAGAAGGCAGAAAAAACAAATGTTGCATATTTATTAAGGTTTTGTTTTGTGTTTGTTCAGATGGACAATTTGTTTTGACAAAGGGAATAACATTGCTTTATCCACTACGACAATGCAAATGTGCCTACTGGGTTTGCAAAATAATAGCAATTTGATTTATCTTCGTACATTCTGTTTAAGCTCCCACACCTTGCCACTCTGAACCACTCTGCACCTGTACTTCTTGGTGGAACTAGGCTAAAGTTCACTGGAAGAGTGTCATCCATCACATACATTGTCTAAGTAGGAGTAGCCAGCGTTTCCCATGAGCGCTTGAGACTTCGGCCCGGACTGTTTGTGCATCTGTTTCTGCCGTCCACTCAGCGCTGGACATTTTTAACCCGCCCCCGGCCTCTCTGCCATTCACTGTTCCTGTACTTTGCACAAAAAAACCGAAATTGCTACAGAGAATCATGTTGTCTTTCTATGGTGGATGTGGCGGCTTGCACCCGGGAGTTTAAAAGAAGCAATAAACCCACTTTTGAAAGTAAACTTTTGACAGAAGGTTGAATAATGGTTAAATCAATTCCACCATCGGGACAAGTGCGATTCTGTGTAGCACTTTTCGGCCTGGCTGTCCTGCTTGTAGCCCTTTCACTCAACAACACAACTGAAAAGATCTGCCTTTCTTGTTTGCAGTGATTAATGGTTTCGACCTAATTGTGCCTTTAAAACAGGCCATTCATTTTGGACAAACTGGCTTGATATGTTGCGGTTAATAAATAAAAAGACTAGTCAGAGTTGTCAGGGACTAATTGAGTATCATCTAGAGGATTTTAAAAGAGGACATCGAAACCACAGGGAATTCATTGTGTGTTGTTTATCACAGAGACAGACCAATAGCGTGCCTATTTCTCTGTATGTGTCGGAAATGTCCTTGGCAAGCCCGAACACTAGATTTTTGGTGGATCACAGCAGGGGAAAAAACAGCCCGAAAAAGAGGAGCAGTACACCTAAGAAGATCAAATGGAGAGATAGACAACAGCTAGTGATTCCTTTAACCTTTGCAGTGCACTGTGGAACACTCTGGATCAAGAGAAACAAAACAAGTCTAGATCTTTCCCTTTACCAGGCTAATAACTGAACTAAATTCTCTAAAATGATGCATTTGAGGTCTACCTGTCAGACCATAACTAAATACTAAAGCATCAGCCTAGACTCAACTCCATAGTGATTATTTATTTGATTGCTCCGCTCTCTGCGGCACATCAGACAATTTCTGGCAACCCGTATTTTGTTGCTTTTGTTGTGTCAGCTTTAGTTTGGATGGCGCCGTCACCGTATCCAGCTGCTTCCTTTTTTGAGCTTGTCATCACATCTACTTTGTACTGCATCTCTGTGTTGCTTTTTTTGGTTGTCATATGTACTCTTCACGTGCGCTTCCACCACACATTAAAGTTGTATACATGTGAAGTTTGTGTGTGTTCAAGTTTGGTCTTCGGTCTAATGAATGCCTCATAGTGAAGTATATGTGATGTTTAGTCCATTGACAGCACTTGTCTCTTTATGCGCAAAGCCAGCTTCTTAATGTGCCTATGTTTTTGTGCCACTCTAGGAGAGAGAGAGGAGGCGGCAACACGTAATGCTGATGAAAGCTGTAGAGGCTCGCAAGAAAGCAGAGGTAGTTCATATGCATACAGCCGACACAGTGTCCACTCCATAAAAAAGAACCCAAGTCATTATTCCCTAGATGGATTCCTACTTTCTCTCTTTCTACGCACTCTCTCCCTCCTTCCACTTTTTTCTGCACACTTACCAAGTCAAAAGATTCTGGCCCCTCAAGCACTTTTCTTTTGAATGCACCGCAGCATTAGTCTGAATTCTAACAGTGCTCAGCAAAGTCAAGTAAACATTCTTGTCTGTTTTTGCGCACTCGCACACACACACACACACACACACACACACATGCACGCACACACACACACACTCCACTTGCTAATGCTGCCGCCTCAACTTTTTTTCTTTCTTTTTTCCCCCCTCCTTTTCACTCTGACTCTAGGAGCGAGAGCGCGTGCGGCAGGAGAAAAGGGACGAAAAACGCTTGAACAAAGAGCGTAAACTGGAGCAGAGGCGGTTAGAGCAAGAGCTGGCCCGAGAGCTGAAGAAGCCAAATGAAGATATGTGTCTCTCTGACCATAAGGTAGATAGATTGAATTGGTTTTCCTGAAGAGAATGGCTTTATTTAATGAGCCATACGCCACTTGTATTTAGAATGAACAAAACAAACATATTCTACATTTCTTCTGTGAATCAATAGAGATCCTTGGCAGAATACTTGATTATCACCATTTGAGAACGTCATTTTCAAGCTGTAAATCATTGTTGGCAAATACTGTATCTCAAACTAAATCTATAACACACAGCCCTGCCCCAATGGCGTAAACATTTAGCAGTGAAGATGAAAAGAAAAGTATGAGTCTTTCTCACCACTGAGCGGTTTTATGGGCTCATCACTCAGGTAAACACTGTCATGTTCAATTCAATTCATTGTGCTTGGTTGTGGATATTGGCGCCCTCATGTGGTTCATGCCAAGTACTGCAGCAGATAGGTCCTTTATCATTTTCCCAAACCCTAAACTTAAACCTAAATCAAATATTTCTGCTGGAACTGTTCCATATTTAATCATGAACAAAGTGTAAAACAATCTTCTAGTTTTACAACAGTATAACAAGAAAAATCAAATAAGACTAAAAGGATCTTTAAATATCTATATTTATTCTTATATGCCAATAAAACACAATGGAAAAGACGCAATTCTTGAATTAAGTGAAATATCCAATTGTTTTTCCAGATCATTTTGTTGATAGTGATTAGATTTGTCTGAAAGTCCTTTCTTGTGGCCAACATCACACATATGTTTTGAATGTTGTCATCACTTCTAGACACTTTTATGAGAAAATAATTAGATCATAGTTGCCAACAAAGAAGATGTGGAAGCTCTAAACTAAGACTACTAGGTCTTGGCATCTGACATTTACCAAAGATTTTTCAGCAGCCCTCCAACACGATTATAAACTAATGGCTCTTTGGAATGTTGTTATGTCACATGGATGCAACCTAGAAAATGGGTATAATGGCAATGCAAGACAAATTTATTTGTATAGTGCAGTTCATATACAAGGCAACTCAAAGTGCCATAAGGCATTAAAATCATGAATATTCACAGTACATTAAAGAGAATGAAGATACAGTCCTTCAGTTGTATGCACAGCTAAACAGGACTGTTTTAATATGGATTTGAACATTGTAGAAGCCTGTCTCACATTTTCAGTAAAATGGTTCCAGATTTTAGTTGCATAAATCAGAAACACTGCCTCCCCATGTTTATGAAAACTCTTTCTTTTTAAAGTTGGATAAACTTTATTCACGCCTGAGGGAAATTGCTTGGACACAAAGGATCACATACAGGATAATAGGAAAACATCAAACATGAGTTGTGCATAAGAACGTTTAGAAAATCTAAAAGATGAAAAGGTCAAAAAGGCGTTTTACAGCATCAATATCAGTTTGTCTCAGATTGTGGTTTTTCGAGAATATATGCAGGTCACATGAGTCTCACCAATGCCTCCTTGTCTTCAGTCTCTGCCACAGTTCTCCCGGATCCCGGGTCTGATCCTGCCGGGCTGCGCCGTGTCCGACTGCCTGATGTTGATGCAGTTCCTCCGGGGTTTCGGAAAGGTTTTGGGGCTGGACTTGAATACAGATGTCCCCACTCTGGGCATGCTACAGGAGGGTCTGCTCAATGTGGGCGACAGCATGGGCCAAGTGCAGGACCTGCTTGTCAAAATGCTGTCGCTGGCTGTCTGCGATCCGGGTCTCCCGCCTGGACAAAAGGTCAGTTCTGACCAGCATGGAGAAAAGTACAAAGTCACTGTTGCGTACAGTTAATTAGGCCAACCTAACAAGCAGCGATGTCATGGTTCAACCTTAGTGTTAAGGTTAGAAGCAGAAAAGAAGCTTCACTTTCATAATCAAAATCATAATAAAAGTAAAATTCAGGTTTATGTGTGTATTTCACATACCATAAGAATAATAAAGTATTTTTTATTTTATTGCGTCTTGTGATTTCAACTGTAACAAGCACCCAACATTTAAAGTATTCTCACTCACTACTACAGTAGATGCATAGTTTTGACTTGTTTTTAATCCATCCAGGCTAATGTGAGGACCTTCTGGAATTGTTTTTAATCTATAATGTAATATATCAGTCGCCATATATTTTCTATTTAAGATGTTTTTTCAGTTTCTTAAACATGAAATGGCAAAGTAAAACGTCTTCTTTTTGAATAGCCAAAATTGATGCACATTTTTTTCTTCTTAAAGGACAGTAGATGCTAATTTTCAGTTTTGTTTAGTCCTCAGAGAACTTCCGTTTAGATTTTGCCCTGTGTAAAAACTGAAGAGATCAAGAGATAAGCTACCAAAACTATTACCCTCAGAAAAGTGCTTAAATCTGAGATAACAAAAGGGTATTGTTGATGAATAATCCCCAAACCATGTTCAATCAGATAATATTCATTCTGACAATTGGACTATCTGAAGGTGTAACTATAATAAATCCTGGCTTTCATACTAACATCTTCAACTTATGCTCTTCTCTCAGACAAAGACCATGCTTGGGGACCACCTGACCAATGTGGGCATTAACCGGGACAACGTTTCGGAGGTGCTGCAGATGTACATGGGAGCTCACTGTGCCAACACAGACATGGCTCCTCTGGCTCTCAGTCTGAAGACCAAGGCCTTTCAAGCTCACACGCCCGAGCAGAAGGCCTCTATCCTGGGGTTTCTCGCCAACGAACTGGCCTGTAGTAAAGCCGTCATCAGGTGAGAATTCTTTGATTATTCAAGTATTGTATTCAAGTGTAATTGGTCTATATCGATACCTTAAAATCCAGGGTACCTAAGCCTCAAACCATAAAATTTAAACCATTTCTAGTCTGGTTTGATTATGAGTTTTCACATGCGTTTAATGGCATCAAATCATGACTCTCAAGTGTCTTTCGAAGGAGTTTCCAAAAAAGATAACATTTTGGGTCTGATTTGTTCACAACAAAAAAATTTCTGTTTGGACAAACATGTTATTTAATGATAAAAAGTTAGGTACCCCAGCTTTATAGAGTAGAAACAGTGGAATAAATGTATCCACTGTGAGATCAATAAAGTTTATCTTATCTTAAATGCTGATGCAAAGATTTTTTTTCTCAGTCTAAAAAGGCTGTGTTTTGATTATGACCTAGTTTATCATTATTTGCATTAGTATTATTAAAGCCGTTTTGCAATCATCCTGGACAAAATATATGTGTTCAAATGTCACAATGACTGAAGGATTTTGAAGAATTCTGTGTTCAAACAACCCGTTCAATAGTGCCACATTAGTAATTGCCGTGATGATGCTGAAGTTAACTCGTCTGATCGTTTCTTTGTATGGAGCTGCCATACTCTGAAGAATGTAATTGTTATGTTCAACGGTTTCATAAAACTCTTAACAAACATGCTATCGTCCTACTTGATCAGTATTGAATGTCTTTGTAGTGGATGTGATATGAAGCCTCTTTAACCCCATATTATTCATTAGTCTGTAATGGTATGTTTTATTGATGCTGTGGGAAAGGCTCAATAACGCTGCTGGAGGGAGCCATAATTTTCCGTTGCTTTCAATAAAATTAATCACCACACTGTTGTAGGCACAGAAGCTCAAACATCTTATTTTTGGGTATTGATACGCGTCAATTTACGCCAGCTTTGATCTAATTTAATGTTTCGGTTTTTGCCAACATCACAGAAACGGGTAACTTCACAAACACGGCTAAACGGATTGCGTTTCTTTTACAGTGAGATTGACAAAAGCTTGGATCAGATGGCGAACATGCGGAAAGACAAGATCATTATGGAGGGGAAACTCAAGAAGTAAGTGTCCACTCTCCGTTTTGAGAACAGCCTGGTATTTTTGTGACTCCTGGACAATGGAACGGGATTTTGAAACATCAGGCATCCTGTTTTAGGAAACCTTCAGTAGACAATAGGGAACTCTAAACCCCTTCTTGGCATTGAAAACTATAATATACTGTAACAATTGGTTTTGTTTGTTTCATGAATACCTTAGTTTTCCCAAAAGAAACAATCTTAGAAAGGTAGACTTCAAAGAGATAAATAAAAGCACAACAGTTCTAATACTTTGGATCTAAACATATATATATATATATATATATATATATATATAAACATGTTTTTTATGAGAAAAAAGTTAGGTACCCGAGGTTTAACCTAATCATCCCTTTGTGAAGACTGCGGATTATCTACGCCAAGCGCACGGGGAAGAGAGAGGCCAGTGCGGGTGTGGAGGAGACTCAGTCAGTGGGGACGCCATCCTCCGCCACAAAACGAAAGAGAAAAATGGCTGACAGCGACGATGAGGAGGATGATGACGACGACAGCGATGATCAAGCGGATGATGATGATGATGATGAGGAAGAAGAGATCAAAAAGGTCAAGAAAATGGAAGCCTATGACGAGGTGAGGCGTCCACATGTATTTTAGTTCTTGTTGTAGATGCATCACCTACAGAATAACATGACTCCATTCCAAAGAGCCAATCAAAGTGTCAAAAGTCAAAGACTTCAAAGACTTCTAGTCTTTGTCTATAGCCGATGTCTCAGTAATTCTTAGGTCCATCCATATAAAACAAAAACTGTCACAAAGTTCTACATCTTCTTTGTCAGTCCATACCGACCATGATTGAATTAGTTTCTCATAAAAGTGGTGACAACTTTTAAAAACAGAGTTGTTTTGACACTTAACCTTACACTGCCAGATTAATTCTCACAAAAATGATTTATCTATATTTTTTTTTAATTGTGTGGTTCTGGTTGGAAAGGCTAATTGGCACCTGCCCTCCAACTGAAATACAATTGTACAACATGAACATGAACATGAACATGAACCTATTGAATGACACTTACATGAAAGCATTGGAATAATCCTCCATCTAAAGGCGCGTTCAGACCAAAAGCTTCAAAAAGCTTTTGACGCGCTTCAACTGACGCCGGGATAGTTTTGTCATTTTGGTGCTTGAAGCTTTTGACGCGAGTGACGCGCCTGACGCCGGTGGGAGGAGCTTCTCTGTTGTCTGTAGTCAGGATAGCGGTGGATTTTTCAATGAGCAGCGAGCCTTTATTTGTTATATAAAGCAAAATAACGTTGTTGTAGGGCTTCAACAAAACATGTTCTGGGTTCACCACAGACTTGAGAGGCTGCAGTGTTTGCAGAGTTCCGTCATTTACTCCAGGAGCTGCGTACGGAGGAGTTTCGCTTTCAGCGGTACTTCCGCATGTCACTCGCCCGGTTTGAGTTCTCAAACCCCGGAGCTCGCCTCTCCCCGCCACGCTCTCGCCTCTCCCTGCCTCTCCCCGGCTCTCGCTCGCCTCTCCCTGCCTCTCCCCGCCTCGCTCTCGCCTCTCCCTGCCTCTCCCTGCCTCTCGCCCGCCCGGAGCTGCCTTGCTCTGAGCCAGACTCATCGTCAGCCTGTTCTTATTTTAAATAAACTACGTTTACTACACAGCATGTGTACAATGATTTTGTTACTCAGAATGTTACTACTCATACAAATAATATTACTAATAACAATAATGACAATAAAACAGCAGCTACATGACTTCTCTTCATGACAGAGACAGACCCTCTGCTGCTGCTGCTCCTCGTCTCCTGATTGGTTGAAGCCCGCGTCAAAGCTTCAAAAGCTCAGCTTTGCTCAGCTTCGGCGTCAAAGGGATTGTTTTGATACGCGAGCGTTTCGCGCGTCAAAAGCTTCAAGTGAGCCCGTAGTACGCGCGACTCTTGAAGCTTTTGACGCGCGTCAAGTGACGCCGGGGCTCTCGGCTTCACCTGACGCGCTTCACCATTCACTTTCAATGGAAACTTGACGCTTTTGACGCCGAAGTTAAGTCCGGTGTGAACGCCCCTTAACAGTTACTCTGACAAAAACCCTGTTCCTTCAAGAGCCTTTTCTGTAATCATGTTAGGTCAAGGTTTAACACTGGTTTCTTTTTATTCAAGTCCAGTAAGCTTTTATCTTTCCATATCTCTGTTAAACAAATGGACACATCCGTGTTCCTTCTCATTGTGAAACAAACATTTAATATACAGTATGTTATTCCTTAGGATGACGTCGATCACGCCACTAGTATTGAAGAGCTGGAGAAGCAGATAGAGAAACTCGCCAAGGTATGTACACTTTGTTTGAATTTATGGGAAAATAACCACAACGCATTGATAAGAGGCTTTTCTGGGGATGGCAATAAATGGGGATGCCTAATTTTCCATATTACTGCTTACTGGATTAGTCTTGTATCGCTTTAAGCTTTCCATACAATTAGAAGAGGGTTACACCGCTTGAACCTTTATTCAATTACATTCTCTGAAAAATATGATTTTGAAAAGCATTGAAATGTTTTTTTGTCCAATCTAAATTAGTTTCACTGGTGTGCTTCATGCATTAGCACAGTCTTCTTTACTGATGGATTCAATTGTTCAATAAATCACTTCATTAGCATTGCCTTGTAATTAACTGTAATAATCATTGGATATTAAGCAGAATATTGTTTCTCCCGTGTTGATTGATTGTTTTTGCAGCAACATCACCAAATCAGACGAAAGCTGTACGAGATCTCTCACTCTCTGCGCGCCATGATGTACGGACAGGACCGGTACCGCCGCAGATACTGGGTTTTGCCCCACTGTGGAGGAGTCTTCATTGAGGGGATGGAGAGCGGAGAAGGTACCACACTGCCTTCATTTGTGTAGAAATATACACAAAAGTTATCACATTTACATCTATATGGTCATCTTTCAGGTCACATTAGTGCTTAATCGACGCATAGATAGGAATTTCACACTTTTGAGTTAAAACACTACAACAAAAATGCATGATTATCGACCAAAGAAGAGTAAAAACCTTTCTATAACATGTTATAGAACATGTGTGCAAATCCTTCTAAGTTCATCAGTGTTTGGAGATGCTGTATATTCTGACCTGAACAATCAAGTATATCAACTAACCTAATCATCTTTACATCCCTAATTGTAGAAATAAATGCAAAATTGATAATTCCGGATTAAGAACATACATTTGAAAACCATGTCTTTTAAGATTATTTTTAGTATTTCTCAGTAATATGGCATTTAAACAACATTATACGTCAATAGTGGAGTACAATTCATGTGGGTATGAGAGTTTACTTTGCAATGATAGTTTTTCCTTGACTTCTAATACTTCTCATATTCAACAACAATTTAATTATCTCACTAGATTTAGGTCCTCTCCCTTTTATGAGTGTAATGTTTGCTTAGACAGTGCCTGAATCGGAACATGGATTTGTGTGTCCCACGCGATGTTATTTCTGTGACTTTTCCACAGACAATACTGCGTGCTAAGCATTTACTTTTTAGAAAAATGTATCAGACGACAAAATCATTGAAACACACAGCATCACGGGAATAAAAAGCTAGAAATATTGTTCATCATCACTTTTGCACAAACTAAATGTGCTTATCACGCTATTTATCACAGAATAAATTGCTGAGAGATTCCTTTATTTTAATTCCCTTTATTCTGCATCCCCCAGAAGGCTAATTCAAACTTACATCTGCAGTCGTGAATCATCAATGCAACTTTGCTCTTTCCTACGAAGTTAAAAGTGTTTGGTTTTTGAGGCGACAATTGATTGATGAGGATAAACCGTTTTCTTGCAGTAGCGGAGGAGCTGGAGGAGGAGCGACAAAGGCGCAAACGAGCCGAGGAGGAGGTCAAAGTCAAAGACGAACCGCTAGAAATCGAGTTGCAGAAGGACAAACTGACAGAAAGCCACGCAGAGAAGGAGGAGGCGAGAGAGGATAAGACAGACTCTCTTCATTACCAGCAATCCGGCAGTGTTGTCAAGGTGTGCCCAAAACGGGACAGTAATAACCACACTGGGAGCAGCAAAGTGAAGGAGGAGGACAAGGAGAGCCTCCATAGTCCCACAGACACACCCACGTCTCCCACACGCAATACCTCCGAGCATTCTGTAGCTCAAATCACAACCATAACTACTAATGACACCACAAACTCCCCTGTTCTCTCTTCCACCACTGGTTCCGTGTTGTGTTCCCCACCCTCGGCCATGTATGACAGCGCAGCTCTCCAAAACTTCTCGCCGTCTCTGCAGCTGCCGTTTCAGACTAACGATCAGCTGCTGCGCGTGCTCACGGAGAGGAGCGGCCACTGGTTTAGTCTGCTGCCGCGCTCGCCCTGTGACATGTCCTCGATGACCACGTCGCCTCCTGGAGCGGCGCGCGTGTCTCCGCAGGCGTCCTCCACCCCAGCAAGGCCCAAGTCGTCCTCGCCCGCTCTGCCCATTACCCCGTCTGCCGCATCCGCCTCAGCAAGCCCGCATCACCCGGCAACCCTGCTCAACTACCCCCTCTCTGCGGTGCAGGTGAAGTTTTGCTTACAGTTCTGTTAAATAAGACCATAATTTGTTCTTAACAGTCCTAAACAGCTCAATATATAACAAAAACTTGCACAATTAGAGTCAGCATTTTTATTGCATTGTAAGTAACAGGAAGTCACACACTAGGAATTTGCTTTGGTAAATGTTGCAGACAAGTAAAACAAAAGTAAAAAATAGATAAAAAGACAGGCATTAAAACAAATCGTAACTAAAATCATAATATGAAAGATGGATACAAAATCCATTGTTCCTGATTTAGGCACCACCTGTTTGTGAAAGCCTGATCCCATCAAATCTCAGAGGCTAAGCAGGGCAGGGCCTGGTTACTACAGTGAGTAGAGTGGCTACAAGAATGGTCACCATGGTTTCCATCACAGTGGGGCCTGGGAAGCTATAGGGTCAATTGTTTGGAACGTTTTCTCTGCGGAGGGACCCCCGCACCAGAAAACCTGCAAAACCATTCATTCTGGAGCTCGGTAGACGCAACTGTGATCCAAAGTAAGAACACCATGTTACTCTTTTCACATTAAAAGTTGCACAAGGTTCTCATGAGCAATGACAATGTGCATTTGAATGAAAGCAAAAATATATAAAACCTTAAGGTGAGACATTCTGAGTTAATCAAGAAAACAGTTGGAACATTATACATTATAACATTGTACATTGTAGCATTATACATTATACTATGTATCTTTTTGAAATACCTGCCATTTCTTTTCTGGGATGAATAAAGGATCTCTTAATATTAATTTTCTCCTCTTTCCAGTTGAAGCCCGGCTCTTCTCTTCTGGGCTTGTCTTTTGGAAGTTGGTCCAGCGGCATGCTCAGTCCCAGCCTTCCTCTGAGCACCAGCCCGATGCCTGCTCAATGTCTGGAGAACAACATGACCGCCAGTGTATCCAGTAAGAGTGAGTCTCCAGTCCACCGGGTCGAGAAACCCTCCTCTATGCCTTCTCCTGCGCTGGAGCTACCAAAGTCCCCAGACCACCCCACACCTCGGCCCATCCCAGAAGGTCAGCGCAAAAACATTGATCAATACCCATAACCAAGCATAGTTTAATTGAAAGGAATACACCTGCTGGAGACGATTTCACTCGCCTGTCTAATCCAAGATAATTGGATTAGGGATTGTTCTGCTCTGCTGTACACTTATTTCATCAGGGTATATGGATGAATGAAGCTTAAAGAGTGATCCCTCAGAGTCTGATGGTTGTTTGGTGCTTTTTTGCAGAGATGCTGACAGGCTGGTGGCGAGTGTCTGACATGGAGGATCTCAAGGCCCTGGTGGAGGCTCTGCACAGTCGGGGCATCAGGGAGAAGGGGCTCCAGCGGCAGATACAGAAATACATGGAAATCATCCCCCAGGTCTGCACCAAGCACAAAGACGGTGAGTTTAAATGTCAAGTTTTATACTATATATTTTCTTTTTGGTTGGTATGAAGACAACATTTTTCCCATTTTGTTTGTTGTCATTTTTTTTTTTTTTTATGAAACTTTGATGAAACCACATTTGTTGTCATGTCAACCATGATGTATCCTGACACATTGGGTAAACTAGCAAAACATATTTGCAACTTGCCCACCCAAACCCGTCTCTCATAAAATACTCTGTGCTTTCATTGGGGGCTTATTATCCCACTCCCACTAATAGTATGCAGCGGTGACTTCATTTGGATCATTAAACTTGGGGCACCTGACTTTATTATTTTTGTTTGTCTCAACAGAAAGGGTCTTGTAAAAATAAAATGCTGTGAACAAACCAGCCCACAACATGCTGTTTTCATCTAAAAAGAAGACAGTTTATTTTTAAATACTTGTAAGAAAGAACCCTGTGGGTATTTTTCTCTAATCCGTCTTAGAAAGCTAAATCAAAAATGTGACAGAGGCTAAAATACATGTGCATGTGAAAACTAGTGATAAAACCAAACTGTTTTGAGAGTAAGGGACTAGTTTGATTGATTGATTTTATGACATCATTCATTTTTTGTGGTTTGAAAGTTAGTTACCCCAGCTTTTAATTTTACTTTTAAGTTTCAGTATATTTGACATAACACACCATCCTTCCAAAATCAGTCTTCCACAGTTATTATTAAATTATTTTAATTTCTAAAACATGAAGTTCTAAAAGGGATGAGAGAAACAGAACAATAAACATTTGCAAGATCGCTATTATATCTCATCATTATTTTGTCTTACTTTGACAATCGAAGTGTTTGTGTTTGTCTGGTGCCCAGCGGCCATGATTGAGCTGCGGGATCTGGAGGAGAGCCAGGTGAGTGAGGAGTCCGTACGTGGCTGGTGTGTGGAGGAGCAGGCCATGGAGATGGACATCGCGGTGCTACAGCAGGTGGAAGAGCTGGAGAGGAAAGTCGCTGCAGCCAGTCTACAGGTCAAGGTACTTCAAGTGTGTACATGTTTTATTATTCTTCACTCACTTCACTCATATGGGATTAGCCCTATCACTCACTTAATTCAATGTACCAGTAAAATTACATAAAAGTCTTTGCCTCCACCTTGTATATCAGTCTACAGATTATGTGTGTATACTATTTTATTGTCATTTGGAAACTGTGAAATTCTCACACAAAACTATTACATTACAGTATTGTTGAATTGAAACCATGAGAATATTGCCGAAGATTGTGTTATTGTTATAAAATCTGTAAAAATGAATCCATAGAGGAATTCCTAATAAATAAACGATACATAAGTGGAAGTATTTGACCCCTGGCTGTTGGTTTTATTCCAACCAAGGTGCACACCAGACTCCACCCATTTCCTCAGCTGAAGTAAATGAGTGGAGTCTGGTGTGCTTCTCTTTGGTTGGAATGAAAACCTGCAGCCACGCTCTATGGTCTTTCTCTTTGGTCTCTCTATGGTCTCTCCCTTTGGTTTCTCTGGTCTCTCTTTTGTCTCTCTCTGTGGTTTCTCTGGTCTCTTCCTGGCCTCTCTCTCTGGTCTCTCTCTGGTCTTTCTCTTGTTGAATAGCCCTGCAATAGACAAACTATGCTTATGACACACATATATTTTGTGACTGCTCCCACATCAGTAGTTTCAGTAGAAAGTGATATATAAGACCTTGACAAAGGGATTATCTATGTTCCAGGGCTGGACGTATCCGGACCCGCAATCGGAGCGTGAGGACCTGGTGTACTATGAACACAAACCCCTGACAAAAGCTACTGCAACCTCAGGAAGTGACAAGGACTCAAAGGACTCAAAGGACTCCAAAGACTCCAAGGACTCGCGGGAGCACCCGGAGGAGCGCAGCGAGAAGGGTGGGGTGGTGCGTCACCCCGACAACCCTCTGGACATAGCAGTGACGCGTCTGGCCGATCTGGAGCGCAACATCGAGAGAAGGTACCTGAGGAGCCCCTTAGGTACCACCATTCAGATCAGGCTGGATAATGTGGGTACGGTCACAGTCCCTGCTCCTGCCCCATCCACTAGTGCTGACAGGGAAGGGTAGGTCATCTCCAAAACCACAGTTCTCCCACTAAGACCCTCTATCCTCTGTGTGTGCTTTCGTTTGTCTTCACCAGTGAGGGTCGCAGTTTGTGGTGGCTTGCATCTCTCTCAGTTTTGTCAACTTTCATGTTTTTTACCTGGGGTTTTTTTTGGGTCTCAGATGCACTTTTCCCCCCAGTTGTTGACTTGCACTGTCTCCCATCGCATGGTCTTGTGAAACCCTGGTTTTGGGCATTTTCTTGGCTCCCACTCCTCAGTAATTGCAGGTTTTGCTCTTTTGTTTCTGCATGGATTGTATCTCTGTAACATGACAGTTACTGGTGTGTTGCCTCTCCCCTGCGCCTTACACTCCCAACTCCTCATGCCTGTCTTTGCGCAGCCGGAACTCTTTTTGGTCTGCTGTCCTGTTGGCGGCTTTTAAAAAAAAACTTATACCACTAAATGTTCTTCCAAAATGTGTGCGTCTATGTGTTTTAGCTCATCTTTGCCTTTGTGCATGTCCTGTAGTGGAGAGGAGGAAGTGGCCCATGGGATGAAGGTCTGGAGGAAGGCTCTCACCGAGGTCCGCAGTGCTGCACAACTAGCCATGTGCATTCAGCAGCTGCAGAAGTCTATCGCCTGGGAAAGATCTATCATGAAAGTGGTGAGCAGCATCTTCACTCAGTATTTGTCAGGCTTTTCTTCACTTTTTACTTTATACATATTGGAGAGTATATAAAATGTATACGTAAACATTTAACACTGTTAGGCTATGGGTTAGGCTATAAGTAACTGTTTATGTAACAAAGAGATCACTTTACTTTTAACAAAGTCATGTTGAAGAAACTCAAAGTGCATTCCACAACTGGTCTCTAACAGTTTGAGAACATTGTGTAAAACTGTATTTGACAATTTGCATGTACTAATAGCATTTCGTTTATATGATATGATGTTATGAAAAAGTAAAAAATGTGTGAATATGCAACACAATCTTAATATTATTGTCAAAAAAAAGTTAAAAGATATATAAATAGATTAAATACTGGAAAGATTGTGGACTTAGCTCGTGCTGGAGGTGTTTTTGAATTATGCACAGCTTATTAAAAAGTCTTTGTTTTGCAGTACTGTCAGATCTGTAAGAAGGGTGATAATGAGGACCTCTTGCTGCTGTGCGACGGCTGTGACAAGGGCTGCCACACCTACTGCCACAAACCCAAAATCACCACTATCCCAGAAGGGGACTGGTACTGTCCCGCATGCATATCCAAGGTGTGTTTTCACCACTTATTTTGTTGATCTATAGACCTCTTGCTTCATAATGTTCATGTTTGACAAAATAGAACTTGCTGGGTGTTCATTTTGTAGTTTATTTGATTATGTCTAAGCCAATCAACTGTCCATGATTGTTTTTTTTTAACACTTATGTATTGATTCACCTTGAGTATCTTGAGTTAGATTGTATTTATTGCATGAATCAAAAAGAAACATGAAAATTTTTACAAATATCTAGCAAGGTCATTAGTGGTTTCAATTATATATCCATTGACTTTGCATCCATCAACTAGGTTTTTCCTTGTCATCTTTTTCAGGCAAGCAGCCCCACACCTAAAAACAAAAAGCCTCAAAGCAAACCTGTAGCATCCACTGGCAGTAATAAGAAGGCCGAAGCAAAGAAGAACGCCAAACAAGCTGGGAATGGCGAGGTGCCCGAGGAAGACGTGGCCAGCGCCAACGGCACCCCCAAAAAGGGAGCAAAAGACAACAACAGGAAGAGGAAGAGCGAGGAGAGCTGCCCTCCCCCACAAGCAGCCAATCAGGAGAGCCCGGCCAGCGTCAAGCGGGCCAAGACGGCACGAGACAACAACCGCGACCTGGGCTTGTGCAGGTAATTAATCCTCTTACTAAATGTATTTATGTGACTAGACTTGAATTTTAACTTTAAACTCAGCTGGTGCCTATTAACATTTATCTTACTTGTACAGTGATATTAAAGCTGAGATACCTAACTTTCATGCCACAGACAAATTTACGAAGTCATTAAACCCATCAAAAAAGTGATCTCCGACACCAGATTCATCTGATTTGCTCTCACAATTGAATATTTATTGGGGAATAAAGTTAGGCACCAGCTTTTTTCCCCTTGCCGTTGGCCATAGTGTTGTTTGTTGACGTGTTAAACCGGTTCGTGCTTTTCACTCCATCAGGGTGCTTCTTGCAGAGTTAGAGAGACATCAGGACGCGTGGCCGTTCCTCACTCCGGTCAACCTCAAGTCAGTCCCCGGCTACAAGAAGGTCATCAAGAAACCCATGGACTTTTCTACAATAAGAGAAAAGCTTGTCAGTAGCCAGTAAGTCACCATAATCTGTTTGGACGTGTTGTTTCAAATGGCATGTTAGACTGTTAGACGTTATAATTCTAATTTCAAAAAGTGCTAATTTGTCTTTTTCATTTCAGATATCAAAACCTGGAGACTTTTATCATTGACGTCAACCTGGTGTTTGATAACTGCGAAAAATTCAATGAAGACAATTCAGACATTGGTCGAGCTGGTCACAACATGAGGAAGTTTTTCGAGAAGCGTTGGACTGAGCTTCTGAAGCAAACAAACTAAAAGACTTTAATAAGAAATCCGGTTTTGCATTTCAAAATGGAGCACCAGGTTGTATGATTATTTCATTTGTGAAGCATGCGGCTTTGCAGGTAGGAAAAGTCCATTCCTTCATAATACGGAGCCGACGTGCGCTGAGAGAGATGTCACCTTGGAATAGTTAAAGTTACTGGAGGTGCGCTGGATTTATCACACAGGGATGAAAGCCCCAAAGAGTCCCAGAGAAACGGGGTGTCCGAGTGCAATACCATTCCCTGTCTCCGAACACTGCACTGATCAACCCTCACTCATTTCCACTACTTGTAAATAGTCTTTTGTTATTTAATCGTATTATAGTGAATGTATTTAATTTTGTAATTATTTATGAATCAAGGTCCACTTCATTTTCTATGAAAAGGAAGAATCATCTGAACTGAATTGAAAAGGAATGTGTCTCTGTGTTTTAATTATTTACTTTTTTTTTCCTTCCCAAAAAAAGAAAACAAAACAAGCCAAGAAAAAAGCTGTTTACACTGTCAGTGCTTTGGGGCGTCCGAGAGCAGAACTCATCTGCTCACAAACTGTAAAACTGCATTTATTTACAGGAATTGCAGAGGAACCAATAGACAATGGTGATTCATGTGTATATACTGTTTATTAATGTCAATATTATGTCTTGTTTGGAACAATGTGTACAAATTGTTTAAGAATATTAAGATATTGTTTATGCCTTAGAATGATTGTAGCATTCTATTTTAGTGACCGTGATGGAAGCATTATCATAAATATTGTTTGTACAGTATATACATATCCTCTGCAAACACTGTGGTATCCTTAATCTTGGTAGTGCCTACCCTTCCAACAGGGGCATGTAGGGGATGTTTTTGTTTTTAGTTTTCATTTTTACAACAATTTTATTTTTTATATAATTTCAATCCAACAAGGCCTCCAAAGTTGGACAGTGACACAGAAATCATTCCTCACCATAGCAGAAAAAAGGAACAAGCATTAGGTTTGGCTTCCACACTGCATTTCCTCGTCGTCTGCCACAATACTGAGGACCTAAGGCCATTTGTAACCACTGTGTTGAACCTTGCTGTGTGTCGTGGCCTGATGGAGGCAGCTAGATTTTTTTGTACCCAAGTCAAAAGTACTTGAAGTTACTTTATTTAAGATATTGTGGAATAAAAGTATCATTCTTTTGTAGGAGCTTTATTTTTCACTAGTGTGTGGCACGGACCTATTAAAAGGATGTTTTTCAACGTAATTCTCTGCGTCTTGTTTTCATAAGGCATTTCATGAATCATACACCCAATAATAGTGCAGTATATTAATTAATAATTATATAAATTTAATTCATTATTTTGTGGCTTTGGTTAGAAATGTGTCTTAGATGGGTCCAGTATTATCTTTTTCAGAAATAAAGCCCACAAATTTTGAGCGGAATCTAAAAAGTGATATTTTAACTCACTTTAATATTATACATTGTTAACAATTGTAAGGACTAGCCCTTTGTGTTACAATAGTTGGTAATCCACGTTGTGGTTTCTAATCAACCACTACAGTCCATTGCAATACCAAAAATACTTATAAACAAATGTAACAATTCCTGTCATTAGTAAATAGGATATTTGTTTCTTTTTTTTTCCAAACTGTATGTGAGAATGGGTGTGTTCTACGTATGAGTAAAACGACCGTAAGGTTGTCCTTGTACACGATTGAAACACAAAACTAAACAAGATACTGGCGAAAACATGAACACAAAATACAGGGCACTAAATCCCAGCTGAGCACTGCAGGTTTTCGTGCGCCTCTCGCCATTTGTATTGATCAAATGAAATCAAGTGGAGAGAAATGAGACTGTTTCTATGGAAACCAAGCGGCTGTAACTACGTAACGCGCTGCACGTGACCGAAGGTCAGCTGCTGAATCAGGAAGTAAACACGAGCGGAGCCGAGTGACGGGATAACGCCGCAGAACGGTAACGCTACCGTTACATTTTATAAAACACTAACAAATAACTCATTTCACATCATTTAACACTTAGCCAATATTTTTCATCTATATTTGTTTTTTATTGGAATACTAGTAGAGGAGGATACAACTCTCTAACTGGAAGTTGTCATGTTAGCTAGATTTGTTAACAAGTCGACAACCAGTGGTAACCTCGTTCTTGAGTTTTTGTTTTGTGTTACAGTATCTGTCATCGTAAAAAGCTGTTGATTTCATTACACCGTAACAGCGTTAACGAGCTAAGGCTAGCTAAGTTATCTCATCTAGTGATAGTGGTGGGGGTAAATATTGCTTTTAAATTACTGTTAACGCTAATAACAGTTCACCATACGGTTTATTAACTAGCGTTAAATTACCGTTATCTGTTAACAGTTAGCTTTGTTAAAGGTATGTCTACGGTCTGGTTGAACCTGAAAAAAACTTTCCATCAAGTAAAAATAAGTAAACAAAATTATAATGACTTTATTTAGTACATATATTAAAAATTGTAATAACGTGACATATTTGAGATTTACAGCTACATTAATACAAACATAATTACTGTGGAAAATCCATGTATCCCAACTAACTATCTATTTAGGAAAAGTAGTTAGTAATTTAATTAATCTTCTTTGAACCTTACATAGACATAATGCTGCATGTGAAAATGTTTTATGACTCTGATAATTCTATAATGGCTGGAGAATGAAATCAAAATATGTGAAATATCATCATGACTATGTTCTCTAGGGGCAATAATCCCATATTCACGACATTTTTGCATCTAGACAACTCATCGATTAATCAAAAGAGTAATCAGCCACATTCTCTATGATCAAAATTATCATAATATACTGCCTAGAATACAATAGTATGCTTAATTTTTAAGTTTTTGCATTCATTCACATGTTTCCCCATATATCACTCTGTATGTCATGTGTGTTTCAAGGCCCACCTTTCCAAATGGTGTCTCTGATTTGCACTTTACAAGACCACAGAGATGATGTCAACTGGTGTGCGTTTTCGGCCAGTCTACTAGCGACCTGCTCCGGGGACAAGACCCTCAGAATCTACAACACGAAGGACTTTTCTGAGCTGCCATTCTCCCCGCTCACAGGACATGGCTATGGGGTGCACTGCTGTTGCTTTAGTCCTTGTGGTCAATTCCTCGCCTCCTGCTCCACCGATGCCACCGTGGTGATCTGGGCCATGGTGTCCGGGGAGATAGAGGGGATTTTGGAACATCCTGGACGCAGCCCGGTCCGAGTCTGTGCCCTCTCCCCGGACTCCACTCACCTTGTGTCGGGAGCTTCGGACGGGACTTTGGCTCTGTGGGACTTTCCTTCCAGACAATTTTGCAGGTAGATATGGAAAATAAATATCGCTTTTTCCTAGTGGCCAAGGTTGTGGTAAGACTGACAAAAAGCACACAAATAATTTTTTGAGGGGGATATTTTTTGCAGTGAACAATTGGTCACAGTGATTTAGATTTGAATTCATTAGTTACCCAAACAAGACACAAGATTGGTAAACAAGTCTGTAAGGATGTTCAATAATAATAATACCAAGCTAAAATCTGCAAAAAAATACACCTATTTATCATTAACTGACTATTGACAATTAGCTTGAGCATGAACTAACTAGTACATGTACAAGTATACGTGACCATTTGTTTTCTGTTTTGTAGGGCCGGAGCGGTGCCTGACACAACAATGGTGGCCTGCTCGTTCACTCCCTGCAGCCAGTTCTTTGTGACCGGATCAACGTACGGAGACCTGCGCCTTTGGGACCTGGACATGAATCAAAAACATGCCGAGAAAAACGCACACGATCTGGGAGTGAGCTGCTGCACCTTCTCCCCAGACATCCACAGCGGTTAGAGAGCTAATTATCCATTTGAATTTTGAGCTTATAATACTTATGTGAAATGTGAGGTAAGTGTTAGAGGGCATAGTTTGAGAGGTTTTATTGTTTTTAAATCATAGTCCTAGGATTTCCAAACCTTTATTAACTGCTCTGATTAATTGATGAATGTATCTATAATTATAGAATTTCTTTCCCCATGTGGAGTGTTTGTAATGTGTGAATTTGTGAAGGGTTCAGTGATGTGAAGCGCTTTGAGAGACTTGGAAGTTAAGAAAAGCGCTATGCAAAATGTGACCCTTTACCTTGTTTTTCTAAACAACTGTTATCTCGCCATAATGTATTCACTCATCTTTGCAGGGGGTGCAGTGGTGCAGGTTCGCCTAGCGTCCTGCGGTCAAGACAGTCTTCTAAAGATCTGGGTCATCACCAAACTCACCAGTGGAGGTATTGGCTCATTACTGTCATTTACGTTTCACCATAAAGAGGCTATAAAGGAGAAAAACTTATAAATATGTTTTATTTATAACAGATTTTCTCATACTCACTGATTTCCTTTACAAAAGTAAAAACTGCCTCTTGTGAAATAAACAACCCACTGAGAAAAGCCACATTTATTTTTATTTAACTAAAATAAGAAATCTGTTACAATCACTTTGAAAAGAAACTGTAAACCTCAGAGTGAAAACGCTGAACGAGCAAACAGAAAGAAGAACCCCATCCTATGTAGCATAGAGTTGATTATAATTGCAATATGATGCATTATTCATGAATCCAATTACTCTTGATAGGGCTAACCTACTTCCTGGTTTACTAGATTTTGTTTACACATTTATTTTTGCTGGTACGGTAATGGCTGTGTTTATATTATCTTGAAATTTGCGGTTTGATACCATTTAATTTGTTCTGCCGAAGCCGTCAAGATGCAGTTACTCCATTCTCTCACTGCTCAGTCGGCCCCAGTACTTTCCTGTGCTTATTCTGCTGATGGACAACTACTCGTGTCTGGGTGAGATTTAATTAGCAACCTGCAATAAATGTCCACAACCTTTCAATTGTGCAAATGTCAATGTGTGTCACTTATAAGATCCACCAGGTGGAGACAGAGTGTATGTCATGTTCTATAGAGTAACAGAGATGCAATTTTTTTTCTTATATTTTCCTTCAATACTTTTACAGATCCGTTGACAAAACCGTTACAGTTTATGATGCTGTGAGTATCTCAGGGAATGATTTGCATATATTTGGTATGTCTCGTTTTTTATCAGACTTTGTTCTTTCAGACAAATGCTACTTTACTCTACACCTTAAATCAACATGACAGGTAAAAAAATACCCCATTTTTATTTACGTGTGTGAGGATTTATCAGCCATTGTTCCAACATACAACTGTCAGTTTCCTCACTGTGAGTTAATTCTGAATCTTGATAATGCACAATTATTTAATAATTGTTTTAATCACCCACCTCTGTCGATAAGTGTTCTGGTTAATTTCCTTTGAGCCAACAGCAAGATGTGGATGTGCAATTACATTCCAAAGTCTTTGAGTCCCAGTTCAGCAGGATAATAGTTTTGTATAATTGGAAATACACTTATACTTTAAAAGTATTCATATATTTTTAAATACGTATCTTTGGCTAATCACACCATTAGAATATTTCTATCTGTAGTTGCAAGGGGAACCATCTCAAAGGAGATTTTAGGATCAGAGAAGATCCCTATCAATATTCAGTGATACATTACTTAATGTGATATTTTCAATGGGACAATTTGTCAATTTAAGCTAAATTTAGACAATATCTTTCTATCTCATATGTTTTCTATACTTCACGGTTTTAAACAAATTGCAAGAACTAATTTCTAAACTTCATTTCCACTATTCATGACTTGTATATGTTGCAGCAAGTGTCAGTTATTGCTAAGGAACAAAAACAAAAAGCACGGTTCCCTCAATAGATTGTGATACGGCGTGGGCACAAAACATGTATTTACCATTTTTATAAGAAGCAGGACTGCTGTGCCATAGTCTCTTCCCCTACATATTCACAGAGATATCTAGCCCAGCTCAATGAACACTTACAGGCTATTTATACCTCTTCAAGCCACCTGTGTCTGCCTCAAAGCCGCCAATCTCAACCCTTTCAGCACAGCCATTTCAAAGTCATCTTGCCAAAACTGAGCTAGAGGAAACTTGTGGGGAAAAGTCAAGGGAAAAAGTAAACAATGCTCACAAAAAGCCTGCAGGAAATTATTTGACTTTAAAAGCAGATTATTCAAAAGTGAGAGCATGGGAGAGGGAGGGCAAGGGTTTGACTACAGTTTTTGTGGCTCAACATTTCTGTGCAATCAGCTTAGGATTTGTCCTCATTAATGTTGCCTTTGACTTTTTGAATCTACTGGAAATTTCCGCTTATCCCTGGTTGGATCTTAGCACAGGCTTTCACCACTTAAGCCAAGTTTGCCCTTTTGAGGTGCACAAACTACTATTTAGTAGTTTTCAATATTATATGGTGAATTATATTTATGACTATTCCAACAATTTAGCTGCAAAAGTGATTGTATACTACTCGACTTAGAATAATATATTATTTTTTTCTGTACGTGAAAGCAACCTTTGCGAGCTTGTGCAGATTATTTGAAATGCTATTATGTTAAGATGTATACTTTTAATAACATTTATAGTATAAGGAAATGTATTATTTGAAGCTGGAATAGGGCTGGGTCTATTAGGAGGGGGTCTTTATGTGTGGAGTTTGCATGTTCTCCCTGTGTCTGCGTAGGTTTCCTCCAGGTGCTCCGGTTTCCCCTACAAACTAAAAACATTTAAAATAGGTCTGGGATGTGCCTCCTGTATGGCCTGTATGACTCATAGCAATTGTAAAGTGCTTTCTGACTCTGGTCTGTGAAAGACGCTGTATAGGTAAAGATTACCTACTTACTGTAATGATTGTTCCTGCAGATATGTAACTGCATGTTCCTTCTCACCAACTTCACCGATCATTGCCACTGGATCCATGGATAAAACCGTAAACATATGGAAGATAGAGGATGGATGCAGTGGCCAAGGTTAGAAGAAACCACTGCACCAGCTGCTGCTACAAGTACAACTACTACTACTAATACCAAAGGGGGGCGACCTGAGGCAAGAGCAGCCTGGGTACTGCTGACTCAGCCTGGAGATTCTAAAGTGGTCTCTCACCGGGGCTGCTTGTGTTCCATTCCTTTTTTATCAAATTTTTCCACATTACTACTACTACGTATTACTACTACTTCCTACTAATACTGCACATATTACCACTACTCCTGCAATTCCTATTTATGCTACATTTTCAGCTCTTTCTTTTAAACAATTCGAGTTATATCACTATTGTCAAGTCACTCTGAAGTACCTTTGTTTCACCGTCTTGTCATATTTTCTTAATCCTCGCACTGGTTCCTTTCTGGCACATGTTAATTTGCTAAATTACAACAATAATTTTGATATTTAAGCTCACTGCTCTGTATTTCTGAATCTGAATATAGCCTGTGTTCTCTCTCTGTGTTTTTGGTGCTGCTTTAATTGTTTCTGGACCACGCAGAGGGAAAGTCATTAAATGGTAAGTTTTCAAAAATATCTTCACAGTTGCCATTTTCACTAAATGTCACTAGGCACCAGCAATGAGTCTTCAGTAATCAAGGCCACGTCAGGAGTCCACAGTGTGATGAGAGCGGCAGGGATTCAGTCAAACTACTGGGTCTAATAACACTATGTAATACTAGAACACTGCAAAAGTCTATGGGTGGCATTTTGATGGATTCCTCTACAATAGTAGTGGCATGTTCACGTGACATCACAACATTCCAAAGAGTCTCTTGTTTAAATAGAGGAGGTGGAGGGAAATCCATGTAACTGGTAAATGTCAAAAGTCAGACTTCTAATCTTAGTTTCTATATGTTGGGCAGTAGAAGGGACAAAATGATAAAATGGCAGGGGTGTGAATGTAAACACTAAAAAATGATAATCTGGGGAAATATTTGGACATTTTTCTTTTCAACATTTCTTTCTAAAATGACGTCTTTCCCATTAAGTTGTATTGGCAACTGGTGACCCATTTTCTTTTTTTCAAATTTCTTGGAACATCTGTACAAATAAGCCGAATACAGCTAAAATATTTCCACTTTTTTGTTGAGTATAAATCGTAAATCGACAGTATCAACCTCAGAAAATCTACTTCCTTTAGGTATCCACCACATGTCCTTCCAAACCCAGCAGTCAGGTTGCATCTATCTTTGGTGCTGTAATAAATATTACATACTTCCCTTTAATAAAAGATGACTTAAAACAATATTCCTTTAATGCAGTGAGGAAATAACCTGTGTGTTTGTCTGTCACATGCTTACTCCTGTATTTCTGACCTTCAACACATGTCTTTTATTTGATTTCAGCAGAGATCACTTTTGCATCAAAACAAGGTATGTGATTACTTGAAGCTCAAAGTGCTTTTTATCACACAAACCATCGCGCTGTGTCTCTCTGACTTGTGAGAAACTGATTGATTCTTTTCACTTCCCTCCCGCTCGCACGCACACCCCGAGCACCACACTCTACCGCTAATTATGTTCAAGAATAGACATACATATTTTCTTTATTTGAGATCTCTTATCTGGGTATGACCTCGCTGCAATGCATATCAAACAGCTCCATTGAATCCAGAGATTTGTTTTGGCCACAATGAAGCCGTTTAAATGGGTTTTCCTCTCTTCATTCTTTTTTTCATCAGTTTTTTTCCCTCAGTGGAACATGGCAAGGCTCTTCAGAAGATTGTGCGTTCCTGTAAACAGTGCATGTGTGTAATGTTGACTGCCTAGGATTGTTTCACTTTGTTTAAGGGAAAAAGGCATTTAATGATTGTTCAACTGAAACTTCCTGACCTTTTACTCATTCAATAAACGATGATGCACTCAATCTCGATCAATACTCAGCGGGTTTCCTCTCAGCCCCACTCTCAGGCTCCTGTCTGTTTTTTCCTTCTCGCTGCTTTTCCTGCTTTTCCTTCCTTTGTTCATTTATTTGAGCACACACTGAATAACTTCTTTTGCATGGAGTGAGTGAACCCAAATACATTTATTCTAAAACGTAATAATTTAGACAAAATCAATATGAACTAGTATAATGGTAATATTATTTTGAAGCAAGATTGTTCAAAAAAAAGAAGGTGCACAATACATATTTCTACAAATATCATTATAATAGACAAATAACTTGTACCTAGCTTGAAAACAATTACTCAAGAAGAAATTGCATTCCTTCTTGAGTAATTGTTTTGTCTACGCTGCCCACATTTTCTCTATACTGTATGTTCAAATTCACTTTCACATAAAAAAACAGAGCATTGAAACACTGTCTGTTGGATCAATTGAGCTACAACCAAATGTATTTTTTTAGACACTTACAAGTATTGCTTCCGACATATACTTGTAATTAAGCTGCTAACACTATTTTCCCATTGAAATGTGATCAGGATAATGCATATAATCTCACGTTGGACTTTAAAAAAACAACACTCAGTTAAAAGGTGCGTTTCTCTTGCTATTGAGTTCTTGAAAAATCTATTTGTAAAGCACATTATTTGTATAACAGCTTAGGCTTAACAAAGTGCTGTACAGACAAGTGAAAGACATTAAAAACACAGGAAAACACAACAAATATGTGAAATATAGAAATAAAAACAAAAAACCTGTCTCTTGTTATCTGTTCTGGTGTTAAAAGCCAAAAAGAAAAGGTGCATTTTAAGCAGGGAATTATCTCTTAGTTTCTTAAACTAGTGCTAAAAATTGAATTTTATTTACAGTGAGAAGACCACAGATGTAACTTAGCTGAATTGAGTAGCGTTACATACTTGTTTTCAATGTATAAGGAAAGTTTAATGACTACTATCAATACCTAAGAAAAACAATATTTAGATGAACCCAATCAAAAAGCAGGCATCTACCAGAAAAGATTATTATTGACCAATTAGACCGCTACAGGCCACAACTAACACATACATACAGTGCCTTGCGAAAGTATTCGGCCCCCTTGAACCTTTCAACATTTTGCCACATTTCAGGCTTCAAACATAAAGATATAAAATTTAAATTTTTTGTCATGAATCAACAACAAGTGGGACACAATCGTGAAGTGGAACGAAATTTGTCGGATAAATTATACTTTTTTAACAAATAAAAAACTGAAAAGTGGGGCGTGCAATATTATTCGGCCCCTTTACTTTCAGTGCAGCAAACTCACTCCAGAAGTTCAGTGAGGATCTTTGAATGATCCAATGTTGTCCTAAATGACTGATGATGATAAATAGAATGCACCTGTGTGTAATCAAGTCTCCGTATAAATGCACCTGCTCTTTGATAGTCTCAGGGTTCTGTTTAAAGCGCAGGGAGAACCAAGAAGACGAAGGAACACACCAGGCACGTCCGAGATACTGTTGTGGAGAAGTTTAAAGCCGGATTTGGATACAAAAAGATTTCCCAAGCTTTAAACATCTCAAGGAGCACTGTGCAAGCAATTATATTGAAATGGAAGGAGTATCAGACCACTGCAAATCTACCAAGACCCGGCTGTCCCTCCAAACTTTCATCTCAAACAAGGAGAAGACTGATCAGAGATGCAGCCAAGAGGCCCATGATCACTCTGGATGAACTGCAGATAACTACAGCTGAGGTGGGGATGGTGTGTTCAGGGTGATGAGCTGTGTTGCTTTTACGCCAAACATATCGTTTTGCATTGTGGCCAAAAAGTTTGATTTTGGTTTCATTCTGACCAGAGCACCTTCTTCCACATATTTGGTGTGTCTCCCAGGTGGCTTGTGGCAAACTTTAAGAGACTTTTATTGGATATCTTTGAGAAATGGCCACTCTTCCATAAAGGCCAGATTTGTGCAGTGCACGACTGATTGTTGTCCTATGAACAGACTCTCCCACCTCAGCTGTAGTTATCTGCAGTTCATCCAGAGTGATCATGGGCCTCTTGGCTGCATCTCTGATCAGTCTTCTTCTTGTTTGGGATGAAAGTTTGGAGGGACGGCCGGGTCTTGGTAGATTTGCAGTGGTTTGATACTCCTTCCATTTCAACATAACTGCTTGCACGGTGCTACTTGAGATGTTTAAAGCTTGGGAAATCTTTTTGTATCCAAATCCAGCTTTGAACTTCTCCACAACAGTATCTCGGACCTGCCTGGTGTGTTCCTTTGTCTTCATGGTTCTCTCTGCGCTTTAAACAGAACCCTGAGACTATCAAAGAGCAGGTGCATTTATACGGAGACTTGATCACACACGGGTGCATTCTATTTATCATCATCAGTCATTTAGGACAACATTGGATCATTCAAAGATCCTCACTGAACTTCTGGACTGAGTTTGCTGCACTGAAAGTAAAGGGGCCGAATAATATTGCACGCCCCACTTTTCAGTTTTTTATTTGTTAAAAAAGTTTAAATTATCCAACAAATTTCATTCCACTTCACGATTGTGTCCCACTTGTTGTTGATTCATGACAAAAAATTAAAATTTTATATCTTTATGTTTGAAGCCTGAAATGTGGCGAAATGTTGAAAGGTTCAAGGGGGCCGAATACTTTCGCAAGGCACTGTATTTCGGGAGAATGTACATCCCTAGACACGAGACACTTTTAGACACTTTTGATCTCACACGACTTCTCACTTGTCCCCCTTGAGTGTATAAGCTTGTCTTTGTGTCCTTTCTTCTCTCCTTTGCTTCATTCTCTTTCCGTCACTTACATCAGCAGTGAAGGTCAACACACTCACTGTTTGTGTTTTTGTTTGTCTTCTGTTACATTTTGTAGGGAGGGCGTCTTCAGGGCTGTCCAAGCTGCTGGTCAGTGATTGGTCGGAGGAGGACGTGTCTGTGTGGCTGGGGGACGAAGGCCTCGAGGGATTGGTGGAAGCGTTCAAAGCCAATAACATAGACGGGACAGAGCTTCTGGGACTGACCAAGGAAACACTGGCATCGGATCTGTGCATAGGTGAAGACACAATTGGTAGATATATGGAGATTGATTCATTATCCAGGATCAACATAGATTAAGAGTCAAATCAGGTCAAAACTGAGCCTAAAACAGCTTTCTTTAATGCAGACTTTTACTGAAAGTTCACACACAAGTAACAGACAGCTGTGAAGTGAAAGTAGAATTATTCATCATTTTATATTTCCGTTTTTGTATAGTTTAGCAAAAATCTTCATACAGCATTTTTTTAGAGTTATTACCTTTGAAATATTCCTAATGACAGTTTATACATACAGCTGCTCTGTGAGGGCCTCAGAGCGACCGTCAGAGTTTATCGGTCACTCAACAGCATCATGAAGTCCAAGGAGATCCTAAGAGATAAAGTTTGGGATACATTTTCATGCACGATTAGGTTATACAAACATATCCCAAACTTTTGACATATTAGAGCACTGTTAAATCCATCATCTCTGTATGGAAAGAGTACGGCACAACTGAAAGTCTATCAAGACTCGGCTGTCTGCCCAAAACACAGATAAAACAAGGACAGCACTCATCACAGATACAAAATATGCAAAAGTTCATGTTGTAAAGTGTGAAAAGTATGTTTTTCTGAAGATACTTTTGTTGCCAATTTGAAACGACATTTAAAATCCAAGCGCGGGAAACCATTTTTTTTGTTTTTCATCCTTTATTTACACACAATCTTTCACTTGACCCATTCAATCAGTTCCAAATGCATTTATCTGTTAGCTCTCCCCTCACACTTAGCAAATGAGAGCTACATATTTTCTGGAATGGCGTTTTGCTTAAGCGCACACCCAAATATACGTAACCACTCTGGGGGGATTTCTGTTCGATGTGCTGTTGGGGAGTATTTGTGGACTCTCTTACACTCGGGCTAAATTGGGAGTGTTATGCTGTCAGTGTCAGTCAGACGCAGCCAGTGCATATTCGTCATGTACTGTAGTTGCCATGCCGTCATTTTCATCCCACAGACTCTGTCAATCTCGGCGGAGTTTACACAGCCCCTCTGCCGCGACAAGCTTCACATTGTTCTTTGTTTTTGTAACAGCAGGCAGCGGCCCACCTTTTCAGCACGACTCAGACAGCGCACACAAGAACGATCTTTTAAAAACACATTATGATGACTCTCCGCCTCCAAGCACTCGGGGACAGAATTTTTTCTGGCAGGGTGAAATGGAAGTCATTTTTAATTTTGATTTCAAACCGTTTGCCGGAATTCCCATGATTACTTTTTAACCTCACAATTACAGCTTGGCATGCAGATCTCTCAAACCACAAACAATGGAACCAGGCAATAGAATCCTTCTAACAAGTCCCTGGCTCTAAAATTGTTTGGCTCTTTCACTAGTTTCCGCATGCATGTATTTTTCGGCTTTATCAAACCGAGAGAAACACCCTCACTCAGCCAATCAGCTCTCAGCCCAAAGCAGCAAATACTGACTCACAAGGCTCTTTCTTAAAAGGGGTAAATGATAACATGTTTTTAAAATTAGACTTAAAATTAGACTGATCAAACAACAATATTTCCTGAAAAATTCAATAAATTAATAATTTCAATTACATTTATTGTTGTATAGCCCTAAATCACAATGACTTAAAGTTCATTCACCAACAAAAATCAGAGAATCAAACAGCTCGAACACATAAATGCAATGATAATAAACACATATGAGTCATTGGTCCATAGGGAGCGGGGTGGCAACTGTCCATAAATATCCATTAATGTTAATAAATGTCCATAGATGTCCTTAAAAGTCTTTTTCATTCAGGTTCTAAAATCTAGTCTGAAGACACATTTGTGCTTTGGCTTTTAACAGCAACTGAGTTCTGTGGTACATTTGTGTTTATTTCATGCTGTTTTCTTTTTACTTATTTGTTTTCCTTTGTGAATGTGAAGCACTTTGGGCAGCTGTTGTTGTAAATGTGCTTTACAAATAAAACGGACTTTGACATTGACATACCGCGAAAATATGTGATGAAAGCTTGGGAGGGACTAATGGAGCTACGCAACTAATGACCACAGGACCACACTCGAAGCTTGAATATTGAAACATTTTTGGGATTGGAAATGACTGTGATGGACATTTTAAACATCTATTTAAACACCAAATTTGAATAATACTAATATCTATTTTTTTTATGATTGAGAGATACAGTTTTTGGTGTTAGGAATTGGGTTAAAATTAGCATACAATAACTGAGGGGATTAGTCTGTGATTAAGTTGCCATTTGAAATTGCTCTATGGCCCTGTTAAACGACCTAATGCTCTCTGACGCTGGCGCTAGTATTAACTTTGATTTGGACAGGGTTCTGTTCCCACCGCTCTCCCACGCTCACACTGGCCCTCGCGCTGCTAAAGGCTAAAATAATGTCCTGCAAATTACTCTTCCACACAGCTCACAAACGGCTGACTCTCTCCCAGACCTGTTACAATTATTACAATCATGACTGTGTTCAGGAAGCATGAGGAAAACAATCTCATTGGTAGCTTTTAAGAACATTGTGTTTCTAATTTCTTTGCATGAGAGGAACTTTTTGTTATTCTTATTTCAAATTGCATACATTGAACAAACCTAGAAGATACAGCCATATTTCAAAGTATTTAACAGTTGTTCAGAAGAAGTTAAATATTTGGAATAAATAAACAGATCTTACTGAGGTCTTTATTACAGTATAACTATAGATATTTGTAGTCAACAAAGTAACCATAACACGGCAAGAGTATTGAGCATAGACTGTATATAACAATGCTAACCCTCTAGCTCAATGAAGCCCATTAGGTAAGTGCTCATGGATACAGTTTTGCTCTGTTCTCATTCTGGCTCGTACTGACTACCATTGAACAGTAAACTCATCCAGCTCAGTAACCGTTTGTGTCATTTTGATCCTAGTGTTTAGTATTGTCTTTGTAAATCCAGATATGATCCATATAAGGATTGACCAATCGGATACCTTCATTGGCAGGGAATCTCCAGCTTGCCTTAGTAACCATCATAGCAACACATCTGCTCGTGCTACGGCACAAAGCTAACGGAACAAATGCCCGTACAAGGAATTTGGCTTCAACTATCTTATGTTGAAATCACCTTCTTCCACATGCAAGAAACACTATGGTGACATCACATTCACTCAGGCCACTTCTAATATAGAGACTATGGTATTATGGATTTTATAATCCATCCATCCATCCATTTTCTTCCCCGTAATCCATTTCTGGGCCAGGGAGTGGCAATCAGCTGCCACCCAATTCACAGAGCACCAGCCCTTCAATGATCCTCCTGCAGGTGGTGAGTCCACAGGAGGATGACTCGTCTGTCAGTGACAGCATAGCCTTGATCTTTCAGTGGATTTTATCATATTTATTATAAACATCACATTTTTTGGTTAAGAGGCACACAATCTCAGCTCACTCACTTTATACTTTTTCCATATGAATGGACCAAATCCTTCAAAAGGATAACATTACATTTAAGCATGAGTCTATGATGTGTCAGTGGCATAAACTGTTCTTTAATGCATTATCTATTTAACGACATTATCACAGTTTTTGTAACAATCAAAAATGTTTTTTACTGCTTACCCTTTCTTATTCTAGATATGTTTTTCCAGTAGTTCAATAGTGCTTTTATATCGTTTTTGTTCAATAACTTCTGTGATTTTCATTTTTGAGTCATATGGTTTTCGTTCTTGTCTGATAGAGTCGGTGGGGCTGCGGAGTAAGTTGTTGAGGAAAATCGAGGAACTGAAGAGCGAAAGTGTGTGTAGCGGAGTTCCAGACGAGTTCCTGTGTCCAATCACACGAGAGCTTATGAAGGACCCAGTCATCGCCGCCGGTGAGAACATGACATTACACTAGTAGTTATCACCAAGCGCCTCTGAACCAGGGCTATTCTACTTCAAATCACCAGAGCCAGATTCACAGTGTGCCTCAACTTTTACCTAAATTAACATTTGGTATTTTTTATTCATATGTTTTTGACAATGTGTGCTTTTTTTGAAAAAGAAACAACCAGTATTGCGCTACCACCCCACTAAACATCCGACGTCCACTCAACCTCCAGATCACGTCAATATCGCGTCGGTCGGTCGTGACCTTTTATTTACGTCCAAACGACGTCTGTGCAAGGTGCGCATCTGGACGTAAAACAATGACCTCCCATATACGCAGGGCCAGATTAACACTTTGTTGTACCCTGGGCAACAATATTCAAGGGCCCCATCATCACGACCCCAGGATCACCATAATATGGTCATATATAGGATATATTACTGTAATATACAGTAAATATACTCAATACTTCAAATCCTAACTGACATTAGGTGTATTTTCATTTACAAATATTTAAAGCTCATAGAACTACGAATGCACTACTATGTCCCCTATCAAAGACATTCACTCACATATGATGCTATGAAAACAAAACACATCCGCATCTGTATAATCCATTGTAACATTGACCCACTACATTGAGAGGGAAGGAAGTATCCTCCATTTTCACAAAAAATGAATAGATAAGCAACCACTTTTAAACCATTGTTTATTTAACAACACTTATTCCCAATAGAAATGTATGGAATAGATAGAGCTATCACAGAAGACCACAGACAACAGATCAAGCAACATTTTGGTCCTCTGCTCATTGAACTTGTTTTAAAATATAACAACATGCTATAGCACAATTAACCAGTCAAACATTTTAGTGCTACATAAATACACTACACAATACTAAATACACAATACAATTTCTCTGAAGAAGACGAGATAAAATAAATGGTATATAATCTGGCAAAACACAAAATTTTAATCCTAAATAATGAGGAAGTGCATGTTTGCTTTCATTTGGCATCTTATACTGGCTTTTTTCTGGACTTTGACTATGCAAACTGATGTATGATCTCTTCGAAATCAAGGCCACTAACAAGTTCATGTTCAATGGCTAAGAGAGAAAGTGCAGAGAGCCGTGTCTGAGACATTGTGGTCCTCAGCTCATTTTTAACCCGTTTCAAAACAGAAAATGACCTCTCACCCTCACAGTTAGATACAGGTAAGGTTAAAAACAGTCTTAGTGCAACATAAACATTCGGAAATGTTGTCTTAAGTCCATGTCTGTCAAGAGCTTGCAGCTGCTGTACAGGTGAAGTTTCATACTGCACAAAGTGCTTGAACTGAATAAGTTCATCTGACAAGGAACTATCCAGATCTGTTGGATAAGTGGAGCTCAGTTTAGCAGCTCTTACACGCACATCACAATCGTCACAGTCCCTCTCAAACAAAACCCCAAAGAGGTCACACACATGTGTGTAGGCTTCTATGCGCTTGGATAGGCATGAACAAAGGCGGTCAATTATGACGTAATATGTTTCAACTTTAAATCTCTGACTGCTGTCATTAAAAGCTACTTCGCTGTCATCAGCAGACTCATCTGCAAATCTCTTTCTTTTTCTCACACGTTGAGCGTCAAACTGGTATTTTTGTGTCACACTGGCCGCGCGTGCTGATTCTTCGAGCTCTGGAAACTGTTCTCGTAGAGTACCAACATATGGAAGCAGTGAGCGCAAAAGGCCAAGAGCAGTAGCTAAATCCATATCGCTTTTTTGGAGTTGGTCACTTGTTGCCTTAACTCTATGCAGTACCCGGTCCCACAGCACAGTCATTATTACCGTCTCCAGCTTATCAAGTTTTGCGACCAATGCAGAAGCTTCGAGTTTAGTTTGTGTTTTCTCATCACAGTCTAAAGATATTTTGGCCAAAATTTCTCTAATTGCCCCGTAATTTTCTTTGAGAGCCTTTGTGGAGTCTGCTCTGCAATTCCATCGGGTGGTGCTGAGAGATTTAAAAGTGTATTTAATGTTATGTTCGCTGTCATTGAAAACTGTATTCCAGCGATGAGTTGATGCACTACAAAATCCATACAGAGACTGCAGCAGTTCAAAAAAAGAGTTAACCTCCTTACAGCAATTATCAACGCAGTTAACACCTACGAGGTTCAGAGAATGGGCAGCACACGGTGTATAATGAATTAGCGGGTTTTGTTTTTTCAAGAGCGCCTGGAGCCCGTTGTATTTGCCAGACATGTTGCTCGCATTATCGTAACTTTGGCCACGACAGTTTGACAAGTCCAACCCCAAGCGACGCACCATTTCAATCACAGATTCAGCTAGGCTGACACCTGTGTGGCTGTGGATGGGCTCAAACCCGAGGAACCTTTCCACTACTCTGCCATCTGCACTGACAAAACGAAAAACAAATGTGAGCTGATCTACATGTGCTAAATCTGGTGTTGAATCAACGATTACAGAGAAATATTTAGCATTTTTGATTTCCTCTGCAATCACTTGCTTACATTTTTCACCCATCAATGATATAAATTCTTCACACACCGTTGATGACAAGTAAGATGGCTTACCTCTACCCTTATTGCCGTGTTTCTCAAGGTGCTCCTTTAAAAAGGGGTCAAACTGCACTATCAGTTCAAGCAGTCCCAAATAGTTCCCATTGTGCGCAGAGCCCAGCAGTTCGTTGTCACCTCGAAATGGCAGTCCTCTCGCTCCCAAAAATTTAATGACAGCCACCACACGTCTGAGGACTTCTTTCCAGTACAGCTGTTCTGACTCGCACTGTCGGGCAAGAGAAGCGTCCACTCTGCATGCATATTTAGATCGGTGCAATAAAGACAGCATGTTTTGTCTATGATCTGCACTCTTTTCGTGATCACTGACCCTCTCTGGATGTTTCCAATCACAGAATCCGCTGATAAATGCATGCTTTTGGGATGACAGAAGTTTGCAGGCATAACAATAAACTGATCCTGTTGATGGCGAGTAAAGAAGCCATTCCCTTGGCACAATTTCATTGTTTGGGAGCCGGCAGTGAAGCAAATCGTTGGTGAGGGAGCGCGTTCGACTTCCAAGTCCGGACTCCCTTACCGATGCAGGATACTTTGAGGCCCGGTTCTGGAAAGCTGCAGGCCCTCGGGAAACCGCTTCTTCCCGCAGCCGCTTCGTAACGGCCCCCCACAGTGCAGGATCCCCCGGCAGTAGAGACGTTGAGATGCAGGGGCCGCTCCCTGACTCGATAAGCGGCTCAGGTGGCGGTGAGACTGGAGACCCGCCATCACCGCTTCCCTCAACGATCAGACTCACGGTCTCTGGGTTGTTGTTGTCATTGACGTTGTTGCTTGAAGTTGGTGCAGGCTTTTCGCTCTCCGGGCTGTAAACGTAAGATGCCGCGGGCGGTGTAGAAAAATCCTGGCTAGCTGAGTTATCCTCGTCGTTGACGGAAGTGGACTTAAAGCTGCACTAACTGACTTTTTTTTGAAGCCGCGGACTCGCTGGCCTTGCTCTTTCTGCTCCCCTCCCCTCACCCACGAAGCTATCGCCCCCCACACACACACAGTGTTGAGACGGAGCTAGCCTCTCCCAATATGGATAATACATGAATATGGATTTTCACGTGGATGGCGTGACCCTAGAACGATAGAACCGGGAAGCGCGGAGGAACGAGACTTTCTTTTGGATGGATGTTTCGCTGAGTAAGCAGTAACCGGTGATGAAGACGAGAAAGTTTCAGGTTAGCTCCGCCGCTTGTTGTGCTAACTCAGCTGTCTGTGCTAACGGACCTGTAGATTTCTCACGAAAGTGGGGGCCAGTGGTCCGCTGTGATTGGTCACAATCTGCAACCCGAAACAAATTCTCTTCCTTGTTTCATCAAAACTCGATCTAAAATATAATGTCACACCAGCACAAATCTGCGCTAATTATTCTTCAAAAGGAATTATATCCCAATGCACTACATGGACATGGATAGCATTTTCGTAATTAATACGAAAATAAAGTCAGTTAGTGCAGCTTTAACAGAACTGTCTGCAACATTAACAGGAGTGAAGAAAGTACCTATTTTAGGTATATACTTTAAATTTTCTGCGTTTCTGATGTCCTTTTCCTTTTTTAATTTTCGCTTCGCGCTCCCGCTTAGCTTCTCCATCGTGTCTGATTTTTTTTTTTCGGTTGTAGCAACTAGCAACGCCTGACGTCACGTAACACGCTCGGGAGCGGGAGATTACAGTAACAGTATTTTGCTCGTGCCCTTGCTGTCTGGGCCCTTTAGATGGGCCGCCAATGACGGCCCTCCGTGGGCCCTGGGCCCAGACAGCAAGGCCCTTTAGATGGGCCGCCCACGGAGGGCCCCTGGGCAATTGCCCAGTTGCCCGTATGGTTAATCCGGGCTTGCATATACGTGGATATGACGTTCAATCCCGACCTCCCCTAGACGTCGAAAACAGGTCATCGGCCGACCGACGCAGTACGTCTTGATCTAGCAATACAATATATAGGCTGTGAAGCAATATAAGTGTACCTGACGGTAGTGTAGTGGTTAGGCAGATGTGTGCAGCCTGGGTTCGAGCCCACGTGTGTGTATTATTATCTTTACATATTTGTTTTGATTTTTAACGAACAATTTTTTTCTGTTTGGTTAAAGACTAATAAACACTCAACATAGGATTACGTAGTGGCTAATAATAAAACTTGTGAATGTATGCATTTGTTGTGCTAACAATCTCAAGTTTGCAAATAAGGGGTGAGCACTTGAGATTTTATGCAAATGCATGGGTTCACAAGTTTTATTATTAGCCACTACATAATCTTATGTTGAGTGTTTATTCGTTTTTAACCAAACAGAAAAATTGTTTGCTAACAAGTGAAAAGTCAAAAGTTTTCCGACGGGGATTTGAACCCGTGTCGGTGCGACTGAAGTCTCATTACGCAACCGCTACACCACCGCCAGGCATGTTTTCTGACTACTGGGAAAAACTAATAGATAACACCCTAAACAACCGACGCACACTTATGCGAGGTTACAGCCTGACACGTGAGTCGCTCGGTCGATGACCTGTTTTCCACGTCTAAACGACGTAAGGTGTGCATCTGGACGTAAAGCAATGTCTTCCCAGACGTTGATATGACGTTGAATCTGTACCTCTGTCGCTGCCCTGCTTTATTTACTTGGAATCATCCTCTCTAGTAAGTACACAGTCTGCACAGTTTTTAGATATAGATGTATCATTTCCACATTGAAAAGAGTTGGAGACAGAAACTCAGTTGTTTTCTCGCGTATACGTGGATTTTGTTAAGTATATTTTGTATATTATTTGTATTTTGAATTGCCAGTGCATGAATCTATAATAATAACGGCTGGCACTGCTCAGCTGAAAGGGAGACACCTTTTTTTAGTTTTTAAGTTAAAGTTTAAAATACGATATTGTTTTTCATATTTCAAACTATTTTTAACACATTAAAATTCTTAGGTTAGACTGTCCAACAAAGTATGTGTTAAAAAAGGTTAAGATTCTTGAGTTTTAAAATAATAATTCAATTCTAAAATGTAAAGTTACTGTATATTTCACAAAGGTTTATAAACTGCAAAAAGACAACAGTACTTAGTAAACTAAGTTTAAAAACAGGGAGATCAGCTTTACTATTTGGGACACTCCCATCATTTAGACACCTGTGATGTCATCAGTTGGAGTTGAGTTCAGGTGTGGGACCATGTGGGACCATAGGAGCACACAGATGTTACCTTCTGCAGAAAGAGAGTTTAATGTTCATGTATTGCTTTGTTTAATAAATGGACTTAACGTCTTCCCAGGTCTTCAATGTCAGAGACTTTCACTTCTTCTCACTGTGGCTGTTTAAATGAGCCACTACAGTTGTTATTTTCGTTATTGTTAGCTGCAAATATTAAATATCCATTCATCTGCTGGTAGCAAGCTAACTAGCGCTTGCAACTCTATTCAATTTCTTACTTTTTCTTATAAACTTTAAAACCAGCCATATGTTAATTAAAATACATTTACCTTTGCTAATGCAGTCAATTATTGTAAAATCCATAGAGTATAATTTCATGATTGTTGCAATAATTAATGTTCTGTGTGTATTCCTAATGTGTCATGTGTGTTTGAGTCTTACAGGTGTCAGACTGTGTTGAAGGTGTTCAAGGGTAAGAATCACACTCTCACACATTGATTGTTCTTCTGTATTAATATGTTGTTTTTAGAATAAACCATTATGTGGTGTATTCTCTTTGAAAACATCTATCTTTTTCTCAGATTGTTCAGCAACTCACTCAAGATGAGGGAAAAGAGCAACAAGGGGAAAATGCCCCCTCGGAAATGCAACATGTGTAGAGTAATACAGGGTACGTAGCTTTCAGGGCTCATTTGTCCAAGTGCAAAACAAATGCACATTTGCAATTGTTTTTTACATGGAATTACTCCAATGACCAAAGCCTTATCCCAAGTTTCTCAGACGGAGTGTCTTCCAGTGTCTCGAGCTAGTGCAGTGCCAAGGTTTGTATCACATGGTGATGGATCGAGTGGTTTGAAGCATTAATAGAAAGTTATGTGTTGTTATATCACTTTGCCACATTATGTTGAAACTAAACATGTTCCACATTTTCAGGTGCTGTGCTTGGACCTTGTGATGAGAGACTGAAGACCAAGAGAGGACACATGTTGGAACATCAACATTCAATAAATGCATTCTTCTGCCTTTCAGATTGTGTTTTTACATCTGGGGAACCTAGAGTGTAGCTTGTGCCTGTTTTAATACTGATCCAAACATAGGCGCTACAATCATGTTTTTTTTACTTTGGCATGAACTGTTCAGTACAGTAGTGTTCATAACACTGTGCCCTGTGTGCTTTAACTTGTACTTTGATGTAGAGAAACATGATTTTTAATGCAGCTCCATTTGCAATAATGACTGATATCCTTCTACTACAGTTGTTCTAATGATTTTTGAATGCTGTGTTTATCGTTTATTGCCCAGAGTCAGAACTAAACATGATAAAGCTGCATTTCAGATTCACAAGGCTAAAATCTGGAACGGTCTTCCTGGAAATGTGAGACAGGCTTCTTCTTTGACAATGTTAAAATCCAGGTTTAAAACACTTCTGTTTCTGCTTCAACTGAGAGATTTTATGAGAGATTTTATTTGTATCTTTTTAATTTACTGTCAATATTTATAATTGTAATGCCTTGTTTGATTGTTTCTATCTTTTGTTCAGTGCTTTGAGTTTCCTTTTGTTTTGACTGTGCTATACAAATAAACTTGCCTTGCCTATTGCAAAAAGTATGTCTCGACCAGTGAGTGATTCTGCAGAGGTTAAGTAGGTCAATAGGACTGTAAATGGACGTCATATAAACGTCAATATTTTGGTCATATAAGACGTCGAGAGGACGTCGGACCCGACCGGTTCTGTACCACATTGCAACCTTGAATGAAGTGGCCGCGACGTCATTTGAACGTCCAGATAACGTCCAGATGACGTTGAAATGACATAGTTTTGACATCTGCTTGCTTAGTTGGAACAACGGAAAACGAACGTCATATGAAGGCAATATTTTGGTCATATAAGACGTTGATAGGACGTCGGACCCGACCGGTTCTGTACCACATTGCAACCTTGAATGAACGTCCAGATGACGTTGAAATTATGTTGTTTTGACATCTGCTTGCTTAGTGGGAACGACTGAAAACGAACGTCATATAAACGTCAATATTTTGGTCATATGAGACGTTGATAGGACGTCAGACCCGACCGGTTCCGTACCACATTCAAACCTTGAATTGACGTGCCATCAACGTAACATTTGGAGGTTGAGGTGACGTCGGGAAACGACGTCGAGAAAACTTTCATTCTGCACCCACCAGTGACCTATATTCTACGTCGGACAACGACGTTCAAATTACGTTGATTCAACGTCGGCTTGCTTAGTGGGACATCATTACTTAATATGGACAGAACCAATACTGAAACAGGACAGAACCTGGACTGAACCAGGTCTGAACCAGGACTTGACCAGGATTGGATGACAAAATAGATTCATACAGGTCAATCAAAAAGAAGTAACAAGTACAATATGATTAATACAGAATGATACTGAGATTATGAGTGTGTTCACAGTTAAGTGTCAATTGAAGTATCTCGACTTTAAAAGGTTATAACTTAAAAACAAAAATTACTATCATAGATTGGAAAAAAGATTTCAAACACAGACACATCAAAGAGATAGTGTGGATAAAATCAAAAGGAAAGATTGTCAAATATATTTTTGGTGACATTTTAAACGACAAAATCAGCCTCTTTTTTGACCATTCTACTGTGACGCTAGTTACATAGAAAATAAAATGTCCTCAGTCTGAAAAAGCGGCAGATGAAATCCCACAATATTTACATGGTTAACACAACATCAGGAAATCACTTGATATGAAAAGGAATCGTTAAAAAATAAAAAATAATTAATTAATTAAATGACCCTTGAAAAATGTATAACGGACGTGATGGTTTCCGTCCTCTTTTCTCTAAAATGTTAACTTGAGAAAGAAAAAAATCTTGTCTGGTTTCACATTTAATTGGTTGACTAAATGAAAGTATCACTTTGTTTCTACTCTGTGTAAAAAAATAGAACCTCTGAATCAAATGTGGACATCTGAAAATACCTATCAAACTTCCGCAAAGCTCATTCCGTCAAATCATCACGTCCGTTAGATAAAATAAACAGGGCCGCTATAGGAAACTTGTTTAATGTATAACACAGTTATGTTCTAGCAACTTCTAATGAACAGAGGAGGTGTTTGGAAACATGAAAAACATAAAATATCTTCTGATTATTAAAATCTAATTTTTGGCCTTTTGTCACACTTTTGTGCCCTTTAGTGTGAACAAGCCAAACATTATTTGGATCTATCCAAATAATGTAGTGTCTAAAGAACTGTTTTAATACTGTTACGGCCCACGGCCCGTAATTCCCTATTTTGGGGATTACTTTAGGTTCTCCCGTGGTGTCTCTTTGTGGTTGTGTTTCCTCCCTTTTTTCAGAAGATCACGCTCGTGAGTCCTGGGCTCCTATTGGCCAGTCATTCCCCACCTGGAGCTGATTGACCGCGATGCCTGGGTGCTGATTGGGCAGCAGCTGAGGCAGGCCTCCAATCAGCGTGCGCTCACCTGGAGGACCCGCCCTTATAAACTGCCAATCTTCCGCGGCTCAGGGCAGCTGGAGTCAGTGGACTCCAGTTCGCCATTAGTTTTGTCTGTGTTCTGTCACTTGTGCCGGTACCTTAGTTCAGTGACCTGTTTAGTTTATGTTGAGACACTTTAGTTTAGGTTACACTTTTGGTTTTGTCAATTGCTTACTTGTTTTAATAGGTTATTTATTTACTGTGTGTTATGTAGATATTAATCCTATTGTTTTACCTACTTTGTCACCTAAATAAATTATGATTTTAGTTACCATTCTACCATCTTGGTTATTTTGTTACTTCCTCACACCTAGCTGAGCCGGGTCGTAACAATACTTATACAATATTACTATGATCATTATTTCTCAAATACTGTTTAGTTTAATCTTATTTGAAAATGTTTACCCCATAATAAGTGTTTGGCTCCTTGTACTCCTGGTTTTGAAACAAAGCATTAGACAAACTTAATAAATGATGGAAATTCTTTCTCTATTTCACATAATTGATTTCCATTGTTCAAAAGTTAGGCTTTATACGAGGTCCTAAAAAGTCTTTAAATAATTAGTCTGCTATGTTTTGACAGACGGATACTCGTATGAAAGAGAGGCCATCGGGAGCTGGATCAATACAAAGAATCGTTCAAGCCCCATGACCAACCTGCCCCTGCTCACCACTCTGCTCACCCCCAACCACACCCTCAAGATGGCCATCGGCCGCTGGAAAACCTCCCATTAACTCCCAAAGAAACATATATCTGATGCACTATTCAAGGTTCTTCTGTTTAGAAACAGAATATTTCTGTGTATGTACATCTTTAAGCAATGCTTTTATATGTGTGTTCCTGTGTCAGTTAAATCTTGTTGAAATAGATTATACTGTAGCTTCGGAATATATATAAAAACAACTGCTGCGAGTTAAATAGCTCCATCTCTAGAGATGAAAAACTATGAGAAGAAAATGGGTAATACTAAAGTTGGCTGTTAGTGTAATTTCTCATCCTTCATAATTCTTACAGGACATAAACTGCGATGCTTTTAAGGCAATTTCAATTTAGTTTTGGTGACATTGGTCAACCATGGAGATAGCTTAGCTTAGCCTAGAATGCCCTCAAAGCAGCCCAAAGTAGAAGTGGATGAGTTTTTGTGTGCAACTTAAAACTAGAAAATGAAAAAACAAAAAAAAGCATGAAGCATGGAGGAAGGTTTACTAATGTTTAATGAAACCAGACTGTATGTATGTGTTTAGTTTAGTTTATCTATGTTTGTTTGTAAAGTCTTGGATTGTAATTCAAAAGGGATTATTCTGTCTTGTCTTTGGCCATAGTCACACAAGCTTTGTGTTGATGCGTTCAGTATATCTTTCACTTTTGCAGATGAATGCAACACATTTGCCAACTTAATTCTGTTTCTTGTTTTTAAATATTGAAGAAAACAAAAACAGACATCCAGAGGTTTTCCTGCATTTGTCATTTATTTTGACCACAATGATGCTGTGGTACATTCTGTGATCCAAAGCAGACTCTGAAAACCGTTTATGAAGATAAATGTCTTATACAATTCTGAGTTCATATCGCTGCTATAAATGTTCAAATAAACAATTAACACTCCATATACAGTAATATGTTCTTTGCTATGAAAAATAAATAGCATATATAATGTCAGTACTGAAGCATTTATGTTTAGCTAAGCATTCCCCATGTTATCAAATGTACAAAGAAATTCAAGTGCAGTCATTCCTGCAGACTACAACCACCACTTATAGGGAAATATATATTATTTACGAAATAAAAGTGCACAGCAACTATCAGCATGAGCTTTTGTATTTGTGCACAAAGCTTTCTTTTTATCTCTACATTTGATAAAGTTTTATAGAAGACACTATTTCCTTTAAAATCACTGTAATATATATATATATGCTTTATATAATAGACATAAAAGCAAAGCATAGCAGCCTGAGTTCACTGAATCTAGATTGTAAATGCATCGCAGCAGCATCACTACAGACAGGCTCAGGGAGAAGTCAAAAGCCAGTCCCTTGCTACCGTTATGGGTCGTTGTCTGTCTCTGAAATGGCACTTAATACTCGTGTGTTTTTGAACTAGTAGTTTACAGAAGTACAAGGTTCACAGTAGATCGTTTGAGCACGCTGCCTTAAAGGGCTCCACACCACGGCGCCTGTGGACTGCAATCATTAGGAAGGTTCTTGGTTGTCTCTCGCTCGCCCATCAGCCGTTTGAAGCCTGAATAAACCCGCTCTCTCTCTCTCGCTGTAGAAATCAGTGATATAAAAAAAATATATATCAAAACACATGGAGCTTGCGATGTGTTGTGTGCTTCAAGGTTTGAAAATGGTGAGTTAAAAGTGCGTACGACAGGATAGACTTGACCATAAAACACATTGTGAACATTGCAACTAAGAAGTAAATTATTTATCAAATTCCATCTCGGTTTGAACATATTTTTCCATTGGTAATTTTACTTCCTGGTTGTGATTGATGACATCACGCTGAGGATGTGACTAAGCATCATGTAATTAAAAGTTTTATCATTTGACTATTTAAGGATAAGAATATGTTTATCTAGGGCAGCACAGTGGTTAGCACTTGGTCCTTGGATCAATGGCTCCTCCAGACAGGGCCTCTCTGTGTGTAGCGTGTTGTCCCAATGTCTGTAGGTTTCCTGTAGGTGCTCCGGTTTCACTACCACTACACACTAACATGTATAATAGGTCGAAATGCAGTGGATGAATGAACGGCTGGTGATGGAGGCTTCGATGCAACACTGTGTATTGAATGAGAATACACTCATTCAAAAAAAACTTCTTTGTGTAACTATAAATGCGCTATGTAAATAAAGCTTATCTTTTTGTTTTTAGATTTTTGTAATTATACCAGATTGTCGCTTTTTACCTCATTTCTTTCCGTCATCCCACAGTCACACTCACAAATTCACCCTGAACTATAGTGCACCGGAGCACCTGGAGGACACCTACTTAACACAGGGAGAACATGAAAACTCCACGCAGAAAGGCCCTGTCCTGAAGTGGAGTCAATCCCAGGACCCTCTTGCTGTGATCCGCATGTGCTAACCACTACTCACTTATTACTGTATCATTAAAGCGTAATAAAAAATTAGCCAAACTTTATGATCTTTCTCTTATCCCCACGTGATGTCATCAGTTCTAGAACTCTTCTCTACTTCCTGTTAACTGCATGTATTTTAATATTTCTCGATATTAACTGTATCTATATTACTATATTGATGTAAAAAGTTCTATTTGTATTTCAATCAGGTGCCATTCTTCCAAAAAAAAAATGTAGGAGTGGGCAAAAGGTTCTGAGCTGATTACAATGTTCCACAAAACAGATGGAGAAGTATACATGTTTCTCAACAGAATTAAAGTTCATAAAGGGGAGTCTGCATTTCAGATTCACGCAGCTAAAATCTGGAACAGTCTTCCTGAAAATGTGAGACAGGTTTCTTCTCTGACAAAGTTCAAATAAAAGGTTAAAAACGGTTCTGTTTAGCTGTGGATACAACTGAGAGGTTTTATCTTCACTCTTTTTCATGTACTGTGATTAGTGATGATTGTAATGCCTTGTGTGACTGTCTCTACCTTGTTTTGCTCACCACTTTGAGTTCCCTTCTGTATGAATAGTGCTATACAAATAAACTTGCCTTGCCTAAAGGGTATTGAGCTGTGGTTTTAACAAGTCACTGTAGTCACTTTTGCAATGTGCCCTTAGTTCAAATAAAATGTCTTAATCTTCTGGGAAAAGGTTTAATCCCAAACTCTCAACTCCATTATGTTGGAAGGCAGAAATCAATTCAATTTATCATTCTGAGTGATTGAATCAGTCACAGTGAAGTCAATGTAATCTTAGATCTCAGAAACATAAAACTTCCATGTGCTTATAACAAAAGACAACTGTACTAAAATGTCTGATTAGGAATTTAGCAATATTGCCCACTCCTACCTAAATGCTTTAAATGATTTTGCAAAACAAGCAGAAAGTGAGACATAGATCCCAGTGGACAATGGTCTCATATGGGGCAATAACACTCATCTAAGGCTCAAAAAGGTAATCTCGTTGAAAGACAACAAAATATATAAATTCAAATAATAACAATACCAAGCGATCGGTCAGTTCCACATGCAAAAATCCCACGTCCTGTCGTTTTTAAGGGATCGTACTGTCTCGAGCAGCAAAACACTGCTTTGTTGAGCCGTCTTCACACATTGGACTCGATGAAGGAGCGTTTGGGTTTGATGGGAGCCATGTGGAGGGCAGGGTTGTCTCTGGTCAAACTGGGCGGTCTGTGTCTTCCATCTGGGAACCGTAGTTGAGACTGCGAGGGCCTGGCTTCCCGCTGCAGACCGCCGCTCCCGCAAATCTGGTCTTGGAACGATGCGCGCCTGTAGTCGCTGTGCGTCTGAAACTCCATGACCGACATGCCGAACGCGTCTGCCCCGCCCACCCGCTCTGGACGGCTGAGGCTGGTGCTCTGCTGCCCCTGCACCCTCACCGACTTGTCTATCACCCCCATGAAAGGACGTGGCTTTATGTCCTGTTTGGCTTTGAAGCTACCGCTGCTTTTGATAGGGCACGGCGGATCCTGTTGGCGCCCGCTGTCCGATAGGTTCCCACTGGAAGCTTGGCTGGAGCTGGACCCCCGTGACCCGGCTGTGCCCACTTCTCTGCGCACTTCCATCCCAGAACTCAGAGCCAAGGCCAAGCTGTCCGGAGCGTGCGTGGAGTGTCTGTCGGTGCCCCTGGAGAAGCTGGCGGAGCGAGGGTGGTACATCTGCAGAAGTCCAGGGGGAGAGCAGCTACTGGGAGACAGAGGGTGAAGGTGCTCTGTGGGGCTCAGGCCGGGGTGATCCGTGGAAGAAACGGGGCCGATATCGATGGCGAGAAGCGGCGCGGGTCTTAGCGAAGTCAACATGTGCCTGCCTGGGAGAGGACTGGACGGCCCGCACAGAGAGAGAGGTCTGCCCCCCGCGCGTCCCGACTGAGCGGAGTAGCTTTGATTGTGCGTGCGGTTGCCGTGTCTGCTCAGGCCGCCAGGCACTGGCTCGGGCAGGTCCCCAAACAGCGGGTACTCGTCCGGGGTGTAGCAGGGCGACGCCTCGGACATGCCGAAGCCCCCTGGCAGAGTGCTGTTGGGGGCGTAGGGATTCAAAGGCCAAAAGTCAGGGATTTTCCCACACGACAGCGGAAGGTCATCGCAGTCGTCCTTCTCGTCGTCACACTCGTGGTCACTGTGCTCCGCCTGAAAACAAAGACATTCTTTCTTTATCTTATATCCAATCTTTTACATGAAGGATTGTTTTGATGTATTTAAATCATATTGCAGCTTGACGGCAGGTGCCAGTACAACACTATGAGAAACTGGCCATTTCTGAAATGTTGATAAATGAAAAAACATTTGGATCCGTTTGTTGTGGTTTGAAAGTTAAACACCCCAGCTTTAAAGATTTGCATGTACAGTCATCATTAAATGGCCCTAATATGTCAAAAGGCATTAACAAACCATGCTCTTTTGAATACTTCTTTGACAAAACTCTTGTCTATTCAGATATTATGTTCCTAGCTGGATTCGTCTGCATATCTGGAAACCTGAATCAGGGAGAGTGGGGGAGGTTGCAGTACCACCTTTGGCAAGATTTTTACATACTGCTCCTTTAATGTCCAACTTGAGTTATATGATACCATTGACAGTAAGATTAAGAGATCATTCATTCGTCCCACCATTGGAAAATTTCAGTGTTGCATCCAATGTGTATGTGTATGTATGTTAGATTTAGCACAGATTCCATTTATTTAGCTTAATAAAGACACACAGCATTGATATTATTACACTGTTTATGTGGAGCTAAAACTAGATTATCTCGGCTGCATTTTAAGTGTTTCCTCGACCCACCGTGACGGGCCTCTCCAGACTGCCCTGAGAGAAGACCTCGTCCTCTCCGCAGTGGTGGCCGTGCGGATCTCTGCTCAGAGCTTTTTGATGATGTTTACACTCGTCTTCAACTCGAGCCAAAAGCCGACGGATCTCCCGGTTGGACGGGCTCAGTCGTGCCGCTTCGTGGAGGTCGGCCAAAGCTGCAGCAAACTGTCTGTGGAGCAAAAGATGATTCAAAACACATTTATACAAATACATTTACGAACATTGTAATGAGAAAAAAACCACTTGAGGTTTGTGTTCTGCTGATGCAAACTCTCCAAACTGTTATTTTGAAACCTTTTTATCAGAATCAGAATTATTTTATTGCTATAATAAGTAAAAGGAAGTCACCTTGGGATTTTCATTGACGTAGGATGCAAAAGTTATTTTTATCTTATCATAAGAATAAATCTTAATAAAATTCAACTTATTTCGTTTAAATATGTTTATTTATAATATGTTATTGTAATTTTTGATATCTTCAATTGGCCAAAAAAACAACAACTCTCTTTTACATCACCAAAAGTCACGTTATCATTCATTTTTATGTCAATTACAATTACAATGATGAAATACTAAATGTAATGGCATCTAATACAAAAAAATAGATGCAATAATGAGTTTGCATCTAATAGAAAAGTTTTTTTTCCTTTTCTGTTAGAAGATGGCTGAAGCTGAAGCTGAAGCAGACGCAGGCACTATGACGGACAATAGATGGGCATACTCCCATTATTTTGAGTTTGTTGGAGACAAAGATGTGTGGAACGCAGTAGTAGTGTAATTCTTTACAATTCAGAGACAGAAATATCGTAGTAACACATCAATACATAATGTATTATGTTTTTGAAGAAACTGGCCCAACACTGATAATGAGGAGCAATAAAAACCCACAAATGTTTAAAATCCATGATTACACAGCGTTTTTGGATCTGTTTTTGCTTCCACTCGATGGGTGACGAAGCGTGTAGTTCCACAGTGTTTACCTGCTACTCCTCTTGGCGCGGGCTCTGGCATAAAACGCTTCATAAGATCTTGGCTTCAGCTCCAGAGCTTTGGTGGCAAAATCCTCAGCGAGACCAAAGTCCTGTGTTTTCAAAAAGACGAAATGAGTTATCAAGCTAAAACATTACGTAGTAGTTGATCATACAGTACATATTAATATTATAATAATTAATTATTTATTTATTAATTTCATCCACCTGCAACACTGTAAACTACAGTGTTGACTTTTGCACAGTCCTCCTCTTCCTCTTATAAAAGCTGTAAAAAAGCCCAACAAGAAGAGGTAAATTCACATCTACAACACTTCTATGTCTGACTGCATTGTCCCTGTCAAATAAGTAAATCAATCAATTAATCAATCAATACCCTGCACCTGTCAGACAGTACAACGAACAATGACCCCGGCTGACTGTGTACATGTCATTCACGTCATGTAGTAGTAATGTGAAGTACTGTAGTAATTAGTAAACATGAGCAATAGGGTGGTACAGAGTGACCACTGATCATTCTTTGGGCAGCTGCTGTTGTTGTTAATGTGATTTACGCATTTCTTTATGTGTCCACATAATAATAAAAAATCCTCCTTTGTTTTGAAGATGAGCATCTGTTCTCCAAATGAATAGGTTTTGAGGTGAATGGTCAACCTGATGCGGTGCCGAAAGAGGCGAGGGCAGTTGGGGCAGGGTAAGGGCCAGTAGTTGAGGCAAGGCGCTGTTTATACTCAGCCGTTTCAATTTGCTCTTCTTCATTGTTGTACGTCCCTTGTTTTATTTGTGACCTCCAATGTGTGCGGTGGGCACACACTGTCTCTTCTTCTGCTAAAACATGTGACTGTAAATATTAGCCTGATCCCCAATGGCTAACTTGCATAGTGCACTTTTCCGTACAGTGCGCATAGAAATAAATCTAAACAAAATGATGAAACGCTAACCGTACAATAATGGTTGTTATTTGGTTCAATATTGAGTTTGCGTTTGCGATCAGCGTCTGACCAATGTCTGTTTAACGGCACAGAACGCCGGCAATTATTTTTATTGCCAATCGTTACCCGGCGGAAATAGAGGTGATAAAACGGACAGGGAGGATGTGGGTTTTTGTGATTTCGTTTACAGCTTCCTCATCATCATTACTCTGAGGTGGAATTTTAATGATGGCTTTGTTAGCGGGTCGTTGAATGTGAGGTTACAACTAGAACCCAAAAAGAGAGAAGGTAGCTGTTGCAACAATAATAATAAACATTACAATAGTTACTTTACAAATCATAAAGTGATTTTTAATGTTGACAAAAATAATGATATTGTGCCGTGTGAATCAGTCAAGGCTGATTCACACGGCATTATCCATTCACTCAGAACACAGTGGTGGTAAACTATGACTGTAGTCACATCTGCCCTGGGGTAGACTAATGGAAGCCTGCCCATCTTCAAGCATCACCCATCAGTGGGGGTTGTGTCATGGCAAAAGACACAACAGCAGTTTAAGCACTGTGACACAGGATACTTCCAGCAGTCTCCCATCCCAGTATTAACCAGGCTTAGCCACTGCTTAACTTCTGATTTCAGGCTTTGAGGTATGGCCACAATATGTGACAAAGTCAAGTTTAGTTCTCTGAGCTGTAAGATGTTAGTGCTCCCTTATCATTTGTTGTTTTGTTTATTTTGGATTGATTGTTGATGCCTGTTTTAGTAATCCTCAAAGGCCACTTGAGACTCGAGGGCTTTTTATTATTATTTTCACAGAAGTCAAATGCAGCTGCAAAGTAGGAGCTTAGGTTTCCGTAAGTACAATTCTCCATTCAAAATGCACATAGGTGTTGTGAAAAATCAAAATATTAAGAGTATGAAGACACAACGAGGGACATTCAGTTTTGTTTTCTTAATGTTTGATAAATATATTTCAAGTATGAATTCAAGATTCACGTTTAATTAATTATGTTCAGAGGAAATTTGTCTCGGACTCACAGGCTGCAACCTTGAAAATACACTTAGTACAGACATAGAACACATTACAGTAACACAGACATGAACCTTCCCGCTCTACTCCATGGCCTGCTTCAGGAGGAGATATTGTTTCTTATTAGAGTTGGTCTGAAAGGGAGAAGCTCAATAATGCAGGTTTTGTGGTCATTACTCACCAGATACCAGATCAGCCCAGAACAATCTTCAATCTTTATAAAACATTTTGAAAACATAATATTACTTCTAGAAAACTTACTACTTCACAGCTCCATATGAAGGTTCAAATATTACTACAAATAAATAAAAACATTAAATCATCAATATGTCTCTTCGAATAGTAAGCCAAACTAGATAAATATCATGGTCTACAGAATAACAATAACAATCTACTAATAGCTGGATTTTAACATAAGTACTAGGAATAAAAAGTCCCAACTATCCTGTGAGGGTAGCACCATGATGCTCTAACCCCAGTTTGAGAATCATAATTTCTCTTGCTCACAGTGGACTAAAACACAACCAAAACAAAGCCATATTGAAAGCTAATTTGAGCTCCCCTTAATCCGGGCTGTAACAGTGCAGCGGATCTGCCTTGGCCACAGAATGACCTTATCACATCACATTATCTGATTCATCGCCGCACACACCCTGAGGATGACGTTCTAACACGTTCAGTTCGGACAGCTGTCATCGGGGGGCGCTCCAAACCTCACCCCGGGACAAAAGCCCATTGTGATGTCACCACCTGCTCCACCATGTCTGGAGCACCAGCGCAATGCCGTTTTTACATTTTCACATTGTCACACATCATTATTAAGCAAGGCATTATTTTTGGCTGTGAGAAATATTATGAGACTAAAGTTATTGTAGAATACTGGAGAATATACAGTGAAAAAATATTAAAAAAATGCTTTCCGCCTGTAACTCCCTATGCTACCACTAGAGGGAGGAGTCAAATTTCCAAATAAGTTTCAAGTTTCTAAATAAATAAAAAAAAGCCTGGCTGCAAACATTGCTCAAACTATTATGGGACAATACTTTTGTTTTAAAAAGTAGTAGTAGTAGTAGTAGTAATCTTTATTTATATACCGCCTTTTCACTGCACATCGGAGTCTCAAAGCGGTTTACAATTGTTATTTTTGGGAGTGGGGCCAGTACAGGAGGCACATGCCAGACCTATTGTACATATTTTTAGTGGTAGGGGAAACCGGAGCACCCGGAGGAAACCTACGCAGACACGGGGAGAACATGCAAACTCCACTCAGAAAGGCCCTGGTCCAACCGGGATTCGAACCCAGGACCTTCTTGCTGAGAGGCGAGAGTGCTATCCACTCAGCCACCGTGCCGCCCACGGTGGCTGAGTGCATGAGGCAGTAACGGCTCTGAGCGTGATGTCATAGTGGTACAATGACATCATACTTTACAGGAATGAGACAGGAGCTTTTAGACCGAAGGGGCGGAGCTACATGTTTGTGCCAGTAGTTTCCTAATAAGAGCTCAGATGGATCTAAAAACAACTTCAGGTCTGTCTTTGATGATGTCAAAACAGCTCCCTCGTTGGAATGTTTAAAGTCTCGTCTTAAGACCCACTTTTACTTTCTGGCTTTTAACACCGCATAAGTCGTGTGGTCCTCTGTGTTTTATTTAAATTATTAATTTTTTATATACATGTGTGTATTTATTTATTTGTTGCCATTTTGCATGTTGTACAGCACTTTGGGAACTGCTTGTTTATGAAATGTGCTATATAAATAAAGTGGATTGGATTGGATTGGATTGATGAGGAACAATGTTGTCACATGGTGACAATAAAAATTAAATAAATTCTACTCAACCAACCCAAGTTATTACTCAAGTCCCACAGTTTATTTGGTGCATGACTTTTTCAGTAGTTTGGCTTCTGAAATGTTTGAGTTATTTCTACAGTAATCAAGTTTTCTTTGTTCTGCCGGCCCTCGTCCTCACCTCCACCAGTAAATGCCCAATGGCACAGACAAACCATCACCAAAACTCAAACATGCATGCAGAGATGGGTAAAAAGAAATGCAAGGAGAGTTCCAGATCTTCTCTAAAAACAGATGGATCAGTAGTTTGGACATGAATGTATTGTTTGGTCTCTATCACATCTTAAGAGCAGCATTTTCAAACAGAAAAGTGAAAGAGTGACTAACAGCAGCGCTCTTTCTTCGAAGTTTGCAAAAGTTATATTATTTTTATTTATTGTTTTATTTTGGTTGGGACAGTACATTTTAATGAACACATCACTCCAGGTTGTAGCCTTGGGCTGATTTGCATCCGTCGTCTCACATTCGCACTCACAAACACACACTCATTTACCCTGAACTATTGCACATGTTTTTAATGGTAGGGGACACCGGAGTACCCGGAGGAAACAATACAATACAATTTATTCTTGTATAGCCCTAAATCACAGCAGTAGTCATCTCAGAGGACTTAACAAATCACCAACACAGATCGAGAATCTACAGTTCAGAGTAGACACAAAAAGAATATAGAACACATGTTGATAAATGTCCACACATGTTGTAGAATGCTAAAGTGTCCTGGATCATAACCACAGTCCTTTTTGTTAGACACTAACTGTCCAACAGACCCTCCTACATCGACAAGGAAAAACTCATAAGAAAAATCTACGCAGTCACGGGGAGAACATGCAAACTCCACTCACGCCCTGTACCGACCAGGATTCAAACCCAGGACCTTCTTGCTGAAAAGCGAGAGTGCTATCCACTCAGCCAGCGTGCCGCCCCATTATACCACTTTTAGTTTTTCTTTTAGTTGTGGCCACTGTTAGTACCGTTAGAAACTGAAAAATGAGATACCCCAACTTTAGAATACAATAATTTATTTTTGGATATTACTATAACCCTAGCATCTTTACATACATTCATACTTTTACGGTATACTAGAGTCGTGCAATGTTTATCCAGATGAATTATGAATCTGAAGGACTCTTGGCAGGCCTCTCGCGGGCCCCTTGGCAGCTCATAAACCTGACAGTGTTAAATACTGCATGAGTGGTTTGAAACAGCGCTGGGACTTACATTGGTTTTCCTTCGGCAGCGCGAGAGGTTGAGATACAGTGAAACCCGCAGATCCCGAAGCCCTTTCAGCTCCTCGCCAAGTCCCTCGCGTGGAAGCTTCCTCAAGGCGTACTGGTATCTCTGGCCAGCCTCCTTCATACGCCCTTTCTACACAAACACAAGGCAAAAACACATCCAAGTCTTTTTAAAGCGAGCATATGTTTTCAACACTCTTAGATGTCTACTTAAGTCATTACAAATACAATCCAACTTTCCATTCCTGTGATGTGACATACGTAGCCCCTTAGCTCTGATTACTGATGGAATCTACCTGCTGGAGTTTAGCTAGAGGCGGTACAAAATCTGTCTATTATGTATAACTTGATTTGGATCTGCTCTTATCAAAATAAATGTGCGCAATTTTTTGTTCGAATTATGTTATAAATTTATATATATGTATATACATAAGAACCAAGACCTGCTAAATTTTACCAAACAAACTGATTGGATAATCTGCTAGATAATAATAAATATTATGGACATAATTTGTTTTATTTCTAATTATGAATAACTGTTTGGTCAGAAAAGGTCAATTATAATGTGTACATGTTTTCCTATTAATAATCTGGGGACACATATGAAAGATCTATTTTAAAATATTACACAACGACTCCTTTAAATGAGGATTAATTTCTCTTTATAATATATAAATGAATTAATACAAAAGCACGCAAATACACAATAACAGTATCAACCCCAAACAAAAACCAGCCACACAAGAAATGTTTCACAAATCAATTAAATCACTCACTGAATTAAGAAGACATAAAAAATACAGTATACAATACAAAGACAAGAAAAGAAAAAAAATGCTGACATTCTGATCACACTAACCCCAGAAAAACCATTAACATTTATGGACACTAGCATAGGGCTCTCTCTGGTGCTACATAGGCTCCAATGTGTTTGTTATTATTGTATGTCCTGTGTTCAAACTGTTTGACTCTCTTATCTGTGTTGTTGAGGAATCCACAACTTTGCAAAGTCTTCAGAGACGACTTGATTTAGGGCCATGCAAAAATAAATTGAAAGAACATTATACCCATGTTCTTTACACACATACAAATACAGACACATATATACAAACATATAGATCTTTATTGCCGTGATAGAATTAACACATGCAAAAGCAGAGAGCTTGGTAGCGCTGAATTATTTAAGCTGAAAACATATCTTTCCACTTTATTCCAGAAATACCTTGAGCTGCAGCAGAAGCTTTTTACGGCAGACAAAAGCCTTCCTATTTTAATTTCTTTAAAAAGGCATGGGTAAGAACTCTAAATAGCTCAATTTAGGAGTACATCATATCCAATTTGTCAGTGTGGCTCATTACTAAGAGCTGAATTGAAGCTAAATGAATGATACTGTTTTGCTTTGCCACATTAATTTATCTTCTAGTACATACAATTGCTTTTACAAGTTTGACCTAGAGTAGAGAGATGAGTACCTTGTTATTTACAATATAAAGCTTAAAAATCATTCATCTTTCCAGGAACGTGCCTTTTTCTCCTCCTCACGCTGCGCTGCTGTCTTAGTGGTGATGTCAACTGCGCAATTACATATACTTCAAACACCCTCATTATTACTGTTTTGTAGTCCTGGTGATTACAGTACATTGTGAATCTGTAATATTAACTCCAACTAATGTGAATTCCTTTGACATCTTACAAACAGCACACTTTAATTGCAGAATATTACCTTGTAGAGCATGTTTCCCTCCTCCATGAGCTTCTGCAGCAGGATCAGCAGAATATCTGGTTTGGATGAGGCCATAGCCCAGGTAGCGTGGCCTGTAACGGCAACACAATAAAACACATTTGTCTTTCTCTTCACATCTGCGGCTGTCTTATCACCGTGGAGCTGCCATAAATCTCATACCTGATCGATCGTGTGGAGCCGTTCTGTAGCCTTGTGAGGGATGAACGGAAAAGCCCGAAGGATACATAGAGAGAGATGGAGGGAAGGGTTAGAGCTGATGATAAAATTTGAGGAGAGACTAGGACTGAACCAGGTCTGTACTGTAGTATGTATCACTGAGCTAAAAAACTGTTAATTTAATAACTCATCACCTACCCACGGCCCTTTTCGACCGTGACCTTATATGACTGTCACTTTAACCTGCACCTTTGTGGTACTTACTGTGCACTTGTATATAATAGTGATTTTAAGATTTTCTTTATGCATGTTTATATCTATTTTTACAATCATGACATGTGTGAACAATGAGCCAAAGCAAATATCAAAAGCAAATAAAAATATTCTTGATTCTGGTTCACAAATCAAAGCAGGATAAGTCTTACTTTGTCAAATCAAAGCTATTTTAAACCCTTGACACCAGATTTTGTTTTCAATACATGTTGAACACTAAAAAGATTGTGTTATAATTGTTCCATACTAAAGCAGCTCCAATGAGGCTAATTTTGGAAATGTCAACATCAAATAAAAAAATAACTGTCTGATTTGACTGAGGCTAGAAATGGGGATTAAAATAAACGATGTTTTTGAATAAAATCAACATTATAACAAATGTTATTAAAATGCCTAGAGACCTAGATAAGATCTTAATAATAATACTGTAATTTAGTACAGTTTGTCACAAATACGGGACATTGAGAGGTTAAAGCAACACACCAGAAAGGGTAAAACCAGACCACACTGTGCAGTCAATAGAATTTTATCATTTTATCTTTTGCAAACTTGGAAGTAAACCTTTTAGTCAGTATTTCACTATGGCTGAGTTAGGGTCGGCTTCTCTTTTTTCACAGGGTGTGGGTTCTTTATCAAAAAAAAAGCTGATTTTAAGATGTGACAGTACTCAATAACCAGTGAACCAAACTTTTGTGAGAGTGAGGAACTAGTAAGATTAATTAGATATTCTTTGTGATTTGAAAGTTAAGTAAGCACAAGAATAATATGATTTGGAAATTGTATTTATAAAAACTTCATGGTCTGAGTCAGGTCAATTTGTAGGACTAAACCAGATATAAACCAGAATCATACAAAGATCTAACAAGGACAGGGACATAATAAGTAGCAAACACACATACTGCAGCGAATAACAGAGCCAACACAGAACTATAGATACATCTTCCTTTATGAGAAACAGAAATCGATCAAAAGTTCATTACCTCCAACCTGCAGCAGCGCTATTGATTCTTGTTTTTGCTCATATATACACCTCATTGTTTCGTAAATGTGTCTGTTTTATTTTTTAAATCACCCAGTGCAATGTGTGTGCGGCATGTTTTTACCCATTTTGGATCCCTTTTTGAGCAGAGAGGCCACCAGCGCGGGATTCTGGCAGCCGATGGAAGCCTCTGAAGCTCGAGATGCATTGTGCTCCGTCCGTTCCAACACAGCCCCATGATCCACCAAACAGTGCACCTGCCAGCACAACACAGCAGGACACATTCAAGACAATCTCACATTAGCAATACTGCAAATACATGCCCAAGGGGAAAATGATATTGTACTTGTGTAAAAATCATTGCAAAGTAGGTACTGTAGAAGGGATAGTGCATGTTGTGTATGACGTGCACTATCGTAGACAAAATGTATGCGAGAGTGTTTGTAGTCAGTTTTCACTATTATTATAGTGAATGTCAGCTACTTTTCAAACTGTAAAGAGATAATTACATTTTTTTGAAGATACAACCCTCCGCAGCTTCCAAATTGGTCGAAATGAACTAAACCCTTTGAGGTCCCAACTGTCCTTTAACATTTTCCCGTCCAACAAATCTTACTGGTCGTAGTTAGGTATGGCAAAGGAAGGAACTATTTTAGACATATTATTGTAAATGTCAGTGGACCTGTGTCAGGCAAATAGAACATTTGGATGGACCGTTTTTTCATTTCGTGGTTAGCACTCTCACTTCTCAGCAAGGAAGTTGTGGGTTCGAAAACCCGGTTGGAACAGGGATATTCTGAGTGGTGTTCTCCTCGTGTCTGTGTTGGTTTCCTCTGTAGGTTAACACACACAAACATCAATACATGGAGATGGGTCACCGGGCCCTGTACTATGGCAAACACTGCCGCTGACAGAGGCCCTAGTGGCAATGAAGGATGGGTCAAATGAGGACACATTTCCCCACGGGGACAATAAGTATGACTTATATCACTATGAAGCATGGTTTTGCCCCAAATTGCTTTGGCTCTGATTGACTTATATTAAAAAGTAACTCCTCTAGCTCCGTAACGGTTTGTGTCACACTCACCATTTTAACCTTAACAATCAATGTTTTTTTTTTTTAGCTCTGTATAAACCTGCTGTTTGTTTTTTGAAATTGTTTTTGTAAACCCAGTTATGAGCCCTAATAATTCATCCCTAATAATTCATCAATCAGATGCCATGATTTTACGAATTCGGCTTGTGATCAGGAACGGACCTGCGGCGATCCGGATTGGCTCTTTGGTGGCTCAGTCGTTACTAGCCACGTCATAGATTAGGGTTGAACTAAAACAGGCTCGATCTAATACGCAAGCAATATGGGTGATGTCAGGACTCAGTTCACTCCTTCTACAGTCTCTGGGAAAGCCTGATAAGTGACATAGACAACACACCCGCTGTGATCTATCCACTGCTGCCAGAGATTAAGGTTAACCAAAGTTGTTGATAGAATATAATTCAATCAATCCAATGTATTTAAATAGCAGAATTCATGCAGTGTAACTCTAAGTGTTTCCCAAGCCAAACTCAATACAAAACAGTGCAAATACATATGAAACATAATGCATTCAAGATGTAGTAAAAAAATAATAATAATAATTAAATGTAAACATAAATATTGTCATATGCACAGCTAAATAAAATTGTTTTCAACCTGGAATTAAACATTGCCAAGGCCTGTCTTACAAGCTCAGGGAGATTGTCTCAGATTCTAGCAGCATAGATCTGAAAAGCTGTCTCCGTATGTTTAGTTCTGTCCAGTGGGAGGCCAGTCCCTGTGCTCCTCAGAGTCAGAGTTAGTTAATATGCCACTAACATGTCACAGATGTACTTTGGTGCGAGCCATGCAGAGACTGGATCAAGAGAGCTGCTTTAAAGTCTATTCTCTATCATTAAATCTAATCATAGAACATCCTGTGAATGTATTATGACCTCATTGTATCATCAGCAATGTGTAATAAATCAAATTGTGAGAAACCCTGTGATTCCCAGGTCCAACATGACAGTGTTATGACTTAGTACCAGAGCCAAGTCTGGTCTCCGAACAAACAAAGAGGATTACATATTTTGTAAGCTAAATCCTCCCACAATTTGTTATCTACATAGTTTGTGCATTGTCCCTCACTATATTCGTCAATCCCTATACTGGTGGAGACAGATAATTCAGCTATCCAATTGAATTACACTGTTACTAAGTCGTAGTAGTTTAAATGTATTATGTATGATGTGTTGCCGTAAACCAGTGTTGGAGCGACTGTTTTTTAATTTATTTTAATTTGTAGTTTGTCAATGATCCTTCCAAAACCAGCCCATAATAAAGTGTGTACAGTGTATTCTCTTGTGTACCGGCTCCTTTCATCCCCTCATCCTCCTCTGACCACTATAAATAATTTAGCAGTAAAGCTATATGAGGAAGTATGACGCTGTTTGAAGAAAGGGTGAGGATGGAGCACACCACGGGCTACTGTATGGATTTTAATATAGATTTTAGTGCCAATATTTATCAGGTGTCATCAACAGCCAAGGCCACAAAGGAACGACAAGACTCGCTGAATACGCTTACAGTATATAGTGCTCTTCATGACACCCGAATACCCTTTATACTTGGTCACGAAAAACAAGAAAGGACAGTCTGAATGTATTGTCCAAAGGAGAGCAGATTTTACTCAGCCAATAAGGAAACAGTTTGCCGGGAGAGGTGTGGTAACTCGATCACTATCCATCCCTCTTGCGTCATCTGTTATCATTATGACATGAGCTGTAGTCTGTTCATTGCTATTCACCCGCTGTCCCATTGTCTGCCTCATGTAAATAAATGATTAGCACCCCTTAACAATGGAGAAAACTAATTCATGCATATGTCCTATACACCTAAACCACTAAAATTGCACACATGCAGTTTGACACCTGAGTTAACAAATGTAACCCTTAATTATTTCATGTTTTGAGAATTCGTAGTGTAATGATGAGAGGGAAACTACTGTGGAGTAAGTAAGTACTCTTTATATAGCGCCTTTAACAAAGCATTTTTACAATATAATGTCTTAAGAGAGATGAGCTCCACAAATAATCCAAAAACATACCGTCTCTGCGTCTCCGTTGAGAGCAGCGAGGTCCAGAGGAGTGCGCCCCTGTCGGTCCGGCTGGTTCAGGTCGGCTCCAGCCTCCACCAGGTGAAGAACGGCTGCTTTCTGCCCCTTTATACAGGCCCAGCTGAGCGCAGGCAGCCCATCCTGATCCACAGAGGACAAGGAAGCACCTGGAGGCAGCAACACATGAGTTTAACGCGTTGAAGATTGTATCAAATTCAACGTGTGGAGATTGAAGCCGTGCCTTTTGCCAGGAGGAGATCCACTGTGCTAGTGTGGCCCTCTGAAGCCGCAAGTATGAGCGCGTTACGGCCCTGTTTATCTGTTACGTTCAGGTCCACTCCTTGTTTAAGCAGCATCTCAACAACCTGCAACAAACACATGGTCCAGGAAGATAAAATAAACTTTATTGATCTCACAGTGGGGAAATATACAGTACATGTCACATTTGGCATATCACTCAGATTGTGCAAAAAGACAGCAAGTGTGCAATCATGTTAAAGGTTAAAAACATAGTCTCTTTTGTGCAGTATATATTGTCCAATAAAAAGTGGCTATAAAAGTTTGGTTTTCAATCCTAGTGCAGGTTATTAGAGACTTAAAGTGACTTATTGTACAGTAACAAGATTAGCATGTTTTTTTAGACCTAACATTGCAAAAAGTGCTGTAAAATAAGTCAAATATTACTCAAATTTGTCAAAATGTTTCTTGTTGAAAGAAAGAATGTTGAAATTCTTTAGCACATTTCAACTGCCTGAAAACAAAATTTGCCAATGGGACAAGCAAAATGATCTTGTTTTAAAAATATACAGAAAATGTCTCCCCTGGAATGAGAAAAAACAGCTTTTCTTGTCAGAATGTACTCAAATTAAGATAAACCCACTTGATGTAACCATTTATTTCATAATATTTTATCACCTTTTACTATTATTAAGTGAAAGCTTTAGTGTTAAAAGATAACATTTAACAAAACTCTAACTCTGTTTTCTGAAGTATTATGTTTATCCCTTTATGAAAGAAAGAATATCTGACTAAGTCATTGTGCCCAAAAAGTCTAAATCAGGCATGTCCCTTTATTCTTGATTTGTTTGTGTAAATAAACCATAGACTGTATATTAGGAGTAGCCCAGAGCTCACGTCACCCATGGCTGGAGCCAATTTCCTTATATGGGCATTTGTTAAGACGGGATGACCTATGTGCCGTAATGGGACCGATGCAAACTAATGTATTGCTAAGATGGTTGCTAAGGCAAGCTGGAGTTTTCCCAATGAAAGAAGGCATCTGATTGGTCTTATTATGGCTCATATCTGGATTTATACAGAAAATATCAAATTGAAAACACATGTATCATAGAGAACGCTAAACAGCAGATTTTTTTTAAGCCAAATGGCAGGTGTGACACGAATGGTGACTGAGCTACAGGAGTTTACTTTTCAATGTAAGTCAATAGGAACCAGAGCAAGTTGGGAGAAAAACTTGTGAGCACTTCATTGAGCTCGGGTCTTCATCTAAATACATACAGTCTACGCAATAAACTTATGTGTCACCTGTGTGTGTCCGTGTTTTGAGGCACTCAGCACTGGTACGATTCCTCTGCGATTGGCCACCGCAAGCCCCGCCCCTCTGTCCAGCAGTAGACGGCAGATGTCCATCCTCCCTCTGCCTGCCGCCGCACTCAACACTGTCACACAAACACAGGCTTGAACAGACGAGAAAAATAAAGAGGAGGAAAGAGCCAAGCCTGGGTTTGTAATTGACACATTTAGGAGCAGAGTGAGAGCAGTGAAAGGGGAGCAGTGTGGCGCATTTGCATTTTCTATTTGATTTAAAATTCAGGCTCTGCTGCAACTCATCAGATCATATCCTGGAGAAATGTGTTTGGCAACGAGGTGACAAACTTCAGTTTTAATACAATCGGATAAATGCAGGTAATCAAAAACTTCCACAGGAGTCTCAACTGACAACAGAAACAAAACTAAATGAAAAACAAAAATAAAACTCAGGACTTTGAACAGACAAGAAAAACACGAACAGATTGCGAGTTTATCCAATGATTCATGGCCCCATTTTGTACCATAGGAATTACTCAACACAGCCGACAATGGGCCTCATTCACGAACGGTTCTTAGGAACATATTTGTACGTAAATCCTACTTACGCGGTTTTTACGAAGAAAGTGGCATTCACAAATTTTTCTCGTAACCAGAATTTCTCTTGGGCAAGTACAAATCCTACGAGTCCTCAGGAGCACTCGTACGCATTCAGTGCCGACATGTTCACAGCCGGGGTTGTCCTCTTTGGTGAAGTTGAATAAAAATACAACATTCCAGTGATATGTCCGTCATATCGATGTATGTATTTATTTATTTGTAGTAATCTTTATTAGTAATCTTTATTTATATACCGCCTTTTTCACTGCAGATCTGGCCTACTTTTTTTAATTCATTTTGAAATTAAATGTGCCAACGCTTTATCAAATACATTGGAAATCTTGCCGTGTATTAGTGACCCCTTCCTATTTATAGGGGGCATTTCTTTATCCACGGGCCACAGAACAACGGCATATATACTGCTGCTGCAGGAGGTTACTGGGTCCGCGCTGAGTCTCTGCGCTGGTCTCTCCTATGGATCTATACGGGGTCTGCACTGGTCTCTCCCATATACGGGTCTGCACTGGTCTCTCCCATATACTGGTCTGCACTGGTCTCTCCCATGGATCTATACTGGTCTGCACTGGTCTCTCCCATGGATCTAGACGGGTCTGCACTGGTCTCTCCCATATACGGGTCTGCACTGGTCTCTCTCCATACGGGTCCGTGCTGCATGCTCCTGGATCCATACGGGTCCGCGCTGGTCTCTCAAGTCTGGTCTATGCGGTCTATCTTCGGTCCGCGCTGGTCTCTGCGCACCGGTCTCTCCAGTCAGGTCACTACAGTCTATGCGGTCTCTCCTATAGGTCCGCGCTGGTTTCTGTGTGCTGGTCACTCCAGTCTCTCCTCGGGTACTGCATTGGTCTCAGCGCTGGTCCGCGCTGGATCTCCTCCCAGGGTCCAAAATATTTTGAGATTAATCTCAAAACATTTTGAGATTCATCTTTAAAATAATACATAATATATTTTTAAATTAAGCTCATAACATTTTGAGATTAATCTCATCATATTCTTAGATTAATCTCATAATTTTGCTAGTTCGACTTTATTATCATAATATTTCGACTTTTAAGTCAACATTGTATAACTTTATTCTCAGTCTGGTAAAAGAAGAAAAAAGGGTGACTCTTTTGCTCCGTGGCCTGTTGCTTTAGGCCTGTGGGTCTCATCCCATGGTCCTTGTACAGGGAGTATACTTTGGCAGGGCTGTAGATGTATTTTCTGACAGGACCAGGGAATTGTGATTGAATGTGAGGACGGGTCCCTGACTCAGCTGCAAGTTTGCAGAACCAGCACTTTCTCCAGTGGAGGAGGAGACTCATCACTCTTCCTTTTTCTTCTCCTGACGTCAATTCACTCTCTGTTTTTCCTGCGTGGCCTCCACTCTCTCTGGAGAAGACTCAGTGTCCATAAAGTTCGGAAAGGCATCGTGGAGTTGTCAAACCCTCTGTGCGATAGGTGTTATAGACCTTGGTGGAGCCAGTAGAAATACCTGGTAGACCCGGTGGTAAAAACTAGTGGGATGAGCTGCCCATCGCCCTCAGATTTGGATTTTGGCGGGCCACAAGACAGGCTATTTTCTTTGTGTGGGGTTTATTTGACTGGAGGCTGTGCTGCTTTTCCAAGATCCGCTGCAACAACTTCTCTATGGCCTCCTCAGACAGCGGTGACATGAGTCTGAGCAGGAGGAGGGGGGTTCACTGCTGCAGGGGCATGGTGACAACAGGCACTGTGAGGTCTTACTGCCTGCTGTGAGCTGATGTATTCCCCCAGACTTCGCATTGTCTGAGGCATCACTCCTCTCACTCGCACCAGAGTGAGGGCGTTCTCCCTCATCACTCTCCTCTGGAGCACCGCACTCCCTCATGGACGGGTCGGGTCCTGTTCTTCCTCGCCTCCTCCGAAGGGTCTGCAGCAGGATTCCACGTGGGCCCTTTGTGAAAAATCACAGTTGACGCGGCCAGGAAAGAATGAATAATGTCATCATATATTCCGTACAGGCCACCACAGTCATGTTGCGATTTTATTGACCATTTTTACTGATCTATCTTTCATTCGTGTGCACTGATTTTTGATGTTTTGTTTTACAGGTGATTTTATTGTTCATGTTGATAATGGTGATGTGACAGATAATGCAAAGGAGCTGGCTTCTGTACTTTGAGACCTTTGGTTTCATTCAGCACATGAGTGGCGCCACCCACAGCAGGGGCACTCTCTTGACTGGCTAATTACAAAGGGGGTTAATGTAACAATTGTTAATGTGTTGATGTTGCTTTGTCAGATCATTTCTGTGTATTTTTTACATGTGTTTTGCTTGCAAAACCACCAGCTGAATTTACAATTGCTAGAAGAAGACACATAACATGAAAAACACAGGTGAAACTGTTCATGGGATATGCTAAATTTTGAGAAAACTCCATTGCTTCTTACTGTTGATGAAATTGTATAACTCTGTCCCACCAGTTGTTCTGAATGTTCTGGACGCTCCATTGCTCCTGTGTCGGGTAAAATAGTTCCAGTAGAAAAGGCCCCATGGACTAAGGCAGACTCGGTCAGGGCACAGATGGCAAGGAGTGCGTGGGCCGAACGGAAGTGGCGAAAAGTACATTTCCAGGGCGATTATGAAATCTTTATAGTTGAGTTGGGTGAATTTAAAACCGGGTTCTACGAATGAACAAGAGAAATGTATTTTTCTGACATTATTGGAGGTTGCAGTAACACTTTTCGTGTTATGTTTTCAACAGTTGGTAGATTACGAACCCCCCTGTAAAGTGGCCCCTGAATTTTACTCTAAATCTAGTGTATGAGTTCGCACAGTTTTTCGTTGACAAAGGTACAAGGATATTCAAAAAACACTATCACCTCCCAGCACGTATAAAACAATGCAAAATGCCAGAGAAGCTTTTTGAGCTAACTCACTTTGCAACTGTGGATACTGAAACTGTCAAAAAGATAATCATGAGTCTGAGATCCCTCCCAAATGTAGCCTGGATATATTGACCTCTAATTTCTGAAGTCGTCCTGAGCAGTTTGTTACCTTAACTGACACAAATAGTAAAAAACATGTCTCTGTCGTCAGGAACATTTCCTATTGGCCCTTAAAAGCAGCCAGTCATAGACCTCTCCTAAAAAAGAGCAGTCGGATCCTGCGGGACTTCAAAATTATCGCCCTCCATATCGAATCTGCCATTCATTGGAATAATTCTTGAAAAGTGGCCTCCAACAACTTACTGAATTTTTAACAATGAATAATTATTCTGATATGTTACAGTCTGGGTTTAGACCCCACCACAGCAATGAGACCCGATCATAGTGAAGGTAACCCTAACGCATTTCGTCTTCACTACTGATGAGGTAAAGTCACTGTTTTGGTCATGTTAGTTCTTAGATGCGCGTTCGGACACTGTCGACCATGAGATCCTCATGCAGAGACTGGAGGTCTGGTGTTGGTGTCCACGTGTCACAGCCCTAGACTGGTTTTGGTCTTACATGGAGGATGGAAGTACTTTGTGGAGATTGAGACTGGCTCAGATCATGTGGGCCCTGACCTGTGGAGTACCACAGGGGTCGTTCCTGGGACCTCTCCTATTTAATCTCTTCAAGCTGCCGTTAGGTCAGTCTAATACAAAGAAACAAGTGTCCTTCCACAATTACGCCGACGACACTCAGATTATGTCTCACTGACTGCAGGTGAACATGGACCAATGGATTTGCTCCTTCACTGTATCCAACAGATCAGTGAGTGGATGCAAAAATAATTTCCTCCAGTCTAAATGCACGACAAAAACGAAATTCCATTGTCTTGGTCCCCCAGAAACAAGAGGGGCGTCATCTGTCCACTTCATGTCTCTCTCCTATTCTCCTTCAGACAAGGTCAGAAATTTGGGGGTAATATGGACTCAGAACCTAAATTTCAATAGCCACATAAAAATTCCAATAACAATCTACAGCTTTTTTTTTTTTTTTTTTTTCTACCATCTGGTTAGAACATTGCAAAGTCAGTATATAGTGTCAGGGAGACTTGGAGATTCTTGTCCACGCATTTGTTCTCCAGCACGCTAGACTACTGCAATGGCCTGGCTTACAGGTCTGTCCAAAAGACCTGTAAGCAGCTGACAGTACATCCAAATTGCTGCAGCTAGAGTCCTGACAGGTACCAGGAAGTATGACCTATTTTAGTCCGGTCCCTCAGGTCTCTGCACTGGCTTCCTGTGCTCCATAAGAATAGATTTTAACAGCTCTGCTTTGTGTACAAGTCTCTCCTGGCCTTGCACCAGATCATTAGTGGACATGTTGGTGTCTCTATGAACAAGCCCGGACTCTGAGGAGCACAGGGGACTGGCCTAATGCTGGTGCCAGAGTGAGAACCAAACATGGGTGAGGCTGCGTTTAAGATCTATGCAGCTAGATCTGGAACATCTCCCTGAAATGTGGAGGGAGGCGTCTACTCTGTCAATGTTCAAATCCAGGTTAAAGACTGTTCTGTTTGCTGTGCATACAAA